CAACTGGCAGTTGCCGTAGGATTGGGGTAGGGCAGTGCCGTAGGATCAGGATTTCAATCTAACCGGCAGTTGGGGCAGTCGCGCTATAGGATTGGGAGTGTGGGGGGTCAAATCACCGTGCAAATTTGGAAGTTGCAAGCATGATGTTGGCAGTTGCCATATACTTTTGGAGCGGGTTTAAAACTTCGCTGGTACCACACACTCTTCCAACCGTAGGATTGGGTGGGGGGTGGAGGGGGGCTGCAAAATCCTATGGCAACTGGCAGTTGCCATAGGCCTGGGGCTAGTTTGGCACTTTTATGTTGGCCTTCATAGACGTTTGAGGCATTGAACACACACACCCATAGGCCTATGGCAACTGGCAGTTGCCGTAGGGTTTCTGGCTCTACACCCCAGCACCCCAAAATCCTATGGTCAGAGGGGATGGACAATATATTTTCAAGTTTTGGCTTCAGCGTGTGCCAAGCTTCTTTGTTGGCGGGGACCATGGAGCTGTGCTCACGCATTCTACTGCCAGAATGGGCAAAGGCTCTTGCAGATGGTGACAAAATGTTTGAAGTCCAACGCTACCGATCAACCTACAGAAACCAGATGAAATTTGCCAAGGAAGATTCTGTCATTGTCGTGGGCGGTCAGGGATCAAGCAGAATCTCTGCGTTTGCTGTCGTTCAGCTTTGCGTCCGAAGGGTTTCCTATTGCCAAGCTAGGGCCCTTGCAGACCTGCTGCCTCCTCACTTGGATCAGGCATTCAAGGAATACATTCAGCAGGGCTATTGCTTTGACGTTCTTCTGTTTAAGAAGGTGGTGGATGTCCGACCGCAGAACATTACATGGAGGAACCTAGAGGCAGAGCTGGGCAAGCGTGTATGCAGAAACAACGGCTTTCCGAAGATTCCGCTGACTTGGGACAATGAAATCTCAGTTCAAAAGATCTTGACAGACCCTGCGTGTGTGGTTCATTGCCACGTGTGGCCACAGTGGGTTTTGGATGAAGAAGGAAGCACAACGTCCACAGACAGTGTAGATGGCAGTAATGCCAGTGGGCAGATGTCAGATGCCAGATGCCATCTTGTCTCAAGAGAAGAAGACAATCTATAAGTGTAGCGACAGTGTGTGTGCGTGCGGAAAACCGTGCTTTTGAAACCTGTGAGTGTCTGTCGGAAAAAGCTGTTTAGCTGACCTCACCTAGATTCAACCCCAGCAACAAAGCCGTTGAAAGCCTTCCAGTTTGTTCATGCAGTCTCTTGCCTCCAGGAACACTTGCTGACAGCGGCTGTCCTGGCCTCAGGTTCAAGAAAATGGTTTGCTCATTGCAACATGAGTTTGGTCGATCTTGCGCATTCCTAGCTGTTTTGGGTAGCCAGTCGACTTAGAGACATAGTGCTAGAATCTAGAAGAGCAGAAGATGGTGTGGCAAGACGCCATCAAGAATGACATACGCTCCTTACATGAGGACTGGGTGATGATTAGTCAACATTCATTTTTGAAAGTATTTTTGCAACGCAAAAAACAATCCCTGTGAGGAAGCTGTGGCCAACAAGCAATGCTTGGCTCTCATGATTGCCAGCTTGCCGTTGCCAACAAAGATGCCAGATGTGCTAGATGAAGTTGCCACGATGTACGCAGGCCTGTCTGGCGCTGACTACAAAGATGCTGAAACTTGGACAGGTCTGAAGATCCAAGCAGCGGAGTTGAGTGTGCAAAAGGACTCGTTGGGGAAGAGTCTTATTCACCAATGGCGGTGGGATTCCACCTCGCTTTGGTCAGGGCGTTCAGCAGAAGCCAGGAATATTGTAGGCATTGCCCACAGTATCTTGGCAAATGGTTTCCGGCAAGAAGAAAGCATATGCTCAAGGGATGCAGTGTGGGGGCTGGAGAGCCTCCGTTTTGGAGATGGCATGAAAAGGGGTTTGGCAAGCAAATTAGTTTGGGTCTTGATGCGCAAAGCCATTTCCGATGGGATGTTGAAAGAAGACCCAGAAGCTGTGAAAGTCTTCAGCAGCCTGGTGGGCCTGCCAACATTGTATGAGCAGGGCGTGGACCTGGTGAAGCAAGCAGTTAGGCAAAACGTCCGAGGCACATACATCCAACCACTCTCATGCCTACAGTGGGCTAACCTTGCCATCTTGGAGAAGTACCCATCGCTCAGCAGCATTGGCCAAGACAATGCCCAGCTTTTCAGCTGGGATGACCCATGTGCCCGACGTGAGGTTGGCAAGGGCCTGTGCGCGAAGCTTGATGAATTGCTGAGTGGGTTCCATGCACAGGTGGACTCCGAGGGGCTGGTGGTGGAAGCCCCAAAGAAGAAGCAAAGAAGGGGCAGAAGAGCGCAAACGCAAGGTGGAAGCCAGATACCAGTTGAGGAGACAAGTGAAATTAAAATTGGAACACAGAAACAGCAGGCGATCAAGAACCTCTTGATGGGATGCACGCCCGAATCCTTCCGTATGATGTGTTGCCACCTCTCCAACTTTGTTGGGGGCGGTGAGAAGCGCAGTGCCTTGACACCAGAGGTTCTTGCCTGGCGACACCTATGGCCCATGTCTCCAGTGCCGGATGGACAGGCTCCTTCAGAAGCGGAAGAGGTTGCCAGAAGGTCCGCAGCAGGTGTCACCAAGAGACTTTTGCCAGATCGGGTGATGTAACTTGGCTTATCAGCATCCTGATTTTTTGCTCAATTTCTGCAGCGTTACTATTCTTGTGTAGTGCAGGGTCAGGGTCAGGGTCAACGGTCAGGGGCATCGCATTCTGCGTGAGGTCAGCTCCACTCCACTTTGGGGTTGAGCTTTCCACTGCTGACCATGAAGGCCTCCTGGGAAAGTTGATATCAGTCTTTGAGAGTGATGCGGAGAAGACTGGTGGGAATGCTAAAGTGACTCTGGACGCTTTGTGGCGATACCGCCTAGTCATTCAGCACTGGAACAGGACTGTCCATGGATGCGCGAAGAATGATTTGGACAGTGATACATACACAATGGTATCTGATGCCATGCTTCTGGGAGATGCCCTTGACTCCCAGTTTTGCCAGGCGCTAAAATCATTCCCTTTAGAGTTCGGGCTTACAATGTTGCCAGATGTCAAGTCGCTCCAGTCGACAGATGCTGATGCAGAGGAGGTTGAAACAGCTATAGAGAAAGCAGAAAAACAGGAATGGCAAGCAAAGCTGGCCGGCTTGGAGGCAAAACTGGAAGTTGATCAGCGCCTCCTGCGGCAAGTGAATGATGGGTATTCTGTCTTGAATGACTGCCTCGACTGGATCACAACCCAAAAGAAACTTTCCATGGCCAAGAAGGCCCGTGATGTTGTGCAGGAGCACCAAGACTACTTTCTCCCAATCCTGGAGCTGGATGATTTTTCCAACCTTCCAGGAGCACTCGAGACTTTGTTGTCCTCCTTGCCAGCTGTCAATAGCGGCCAGATGTCAGACCGCCAGAAGGCTGAGACTAAGAAGCTGATAGTCTTCCATGTTGACTTCAACGTGCCGGGGGTGCATGGCTCAGATATTACTCACAATTCATCATCTCATATATGATTCATATTCATATATATATATATATACATTCTGTGTAAACATTTGTTGCATTTATCAGCGCGTTCTTGCTAGCTGGAGGCTCGCAACGCATTGCTGCAGCCAAAACTGGTGAGCTGCTTGGCAAACGCTTGTCGGACACAAGGACTCAGCCAAAGTGCTGCAATTTCTAACGCGCAAATAATATGCACTTTCCAGCGTTTCCCCTGTTGCGGCAGGAGCCAAAAAGGCAGCAGTATTGGCAGTGATGGCGAACCGAAGCAAGGAAGACTCGGACATTGACCCGGTTGAGGATGAACTTGAGTTTGTCAAGGCCATGAAACATGCAGGTTTCCATGTCCAAGTTCCGTGGCAGATGCCCTTGGCTGTGCCAGGTGATGAGCACTTCGGTTTTGAATCACCTTTGGGGGGGGTTGTGTATATTTTGGACGGGGTGGTCACTTGCCATTGTTTGATATGATGTCTTCAGAGCCTGTGCTTTTGAGGTCAACTCAATTTCAATGGGATTTCTTTGCTCGTGGGCGGTTGATGTGTTGGGGCACTGAGAAGGACCATGACAATCACTTTTGGCAAGCCTCAGAGCTGGTCAGGACTGGGAAGGTCCCAGAAGCTTCAACTACTGCAGAGATTTTGTGCATCACCCAATCTGCTGATGACACAGACAAGTTTGATACGATGCGAATCAACCCAGCCACTCGAAGCGCCCAAAAGGGCGCAGAGGTTTGGCGAAACGTCTACCAAAGCTTGCTTACCTCTTCAAAAGCCCTGTCGCCACACGCAAGACCACTCTTGGCAGCTGGAGATGAAGCCATGGTGGTGGACTTGCATGTTCACGCAGGCGACCACGCTCTTGGCAGCGTTTTGCTGAGCTCAAGCCTCTCAACCCCGAATGTGGCTTACAGACACATCTTGGTAAAGCTGAAAGAGAAGAGGTCCATTGCTGCTGTGGAGTGGACCCAGAAACGTCTGGGCACCTTTCTATGCACCAAGTGGTTGAAGCAAGAGGTCAAACTCTTCTCGAAGTCTGGTGACACAGTTCCACCTTTGATGACAGAAACCACAGCTTTTGGCCTGCAGTTTGTTTTTGGAAAGAAAGCCGGTTGTTTTTGTTACATTGGTGCATGATTGGTTTTTCACATGTTCTTGCAATGATCCCCTAGGTTTTGGACGAGCAGGACAAGAGCTATTTGAAGACGATTCCTGGAGCGTGGGAGGCATACCAAGGAACAAGGTCTTGGGAGACAAAGCTGCGAGCGTGCTCGATTTCAGGCACCCATGTCACGATTATGCCCTCGCTGATTGCTGAATTCAGCCATGCCCCACCATCCGTGAAAGAAGTGCTGGATCAAATTCAAAAGAAGCACAATGAGCACTTCGCTTCAATTTTGCAGGGAAAGATTGCGCAATCAGCTGTTGGTCAGACGACTGAGGATCCAAGGCCAGCTTCCAGCGCAGACCCTGATCCAAGCCCAGCATCAGGTGTTGAGCTTGCTGGACCAGAGAATGAGACGGCTCTCCGCCAGAATGAAAAAATCATATGTGATGTGAAATGCTTTGACAACAGGGCTCTCACTGTGCTTGTGGCAGAGAGTGGCCATGCCTGGCTTCTGCTGAGCAACAAGGAGCAGCCAACAATTGTGAAAAGGGGAACCAAGATAGCAGGAGTGGGCAGTGGAAAAATGTCTACCTTGGAAGATGGAAAGCCTGGCGTGGTTGTTCAATTCCCAGACCAGGGCAAAACGTTGGTTGAGGCTGTTGTCAGTGGTCAGTCGGATGAAGACAATGAGGCCAGGGTTAAGAAGGGGAGCCTCTATATGGTCGCAAAGGAAATGCTCAAGCTTTTTCCCTCTGAAAAGCTTCTCTTGACCGGCCATGATATCACCATCCGCCCAGTGCAGGAAGGCCAAACCCATGGCTTTGACATTTCCAAGCAAACTCAGAGCTGGGGGTTCACTTTGAAGGATAAAGAAGTCACTTCATGGGCCCCTGGTAGTGCCGCGCGCACCTTGGTTGAGAAGAAAGTGAAGCTCCATCCAGCTGCGGGGTGGTTGTGGAGGTTCAGCTTCGACAAAGTCCACGCAAAGTTCACGGCCAAGAAACCCTTTCTTGTCCTAGTGTCAGATGTCAAGTTGTCGCCTGGAAAGCCTGTGAAGCTGACTTCTGACCCTTGATGCCAGATGGTGTGATGCCTTGTTGATGCCAGGTTGCCAGTTACCTTTTGTTGGCCTTCAGGGTTACTGCTCACCCACACCAAGTTTTGAGAAGTTTGTTTTTGAGATGCTGGCCATGACGACGCCAGCGGTAGGTGTAGAGAACGTTTGTTGACTGCCCTCACTCCATAAGTCTTGTGTGTAGTCTAGAGGGATGTTTTGAGCCTGCAAACAATAATCTTCACCAAGCTCACGCCGGAGTGGGGCAGGTCTTCAACATACCGTTGCAACGTTGCAACAGTTGTCGGAATGAAATGTGCTGCGTGTTTGCCGCGTTTTGATGGCTGTCTGATTTCAGAACCTTACTCGTAACTGCTCTTGTCTTGACTCCCTGACTGTCGGACTGAGGTGTGACTGTCAAACACCAAGAACTTCGGCAGTGAGGCGCAGCCAGTGAAGCATTCCGCTTTATGTTTTCCATTGTTTTCCATGTCTATCTTCCAGTGGCGCTTGCCTGGAGCTTTTCAGGATATTCTAATAGATCATGTCCAATATATACTCATATCAACGTGAAACAAATGTCATGGTCAGGTCATAACGTTACAATTGTTTTCATCTTTCACACCAATGATAGCCATGTGTGGGCGGCCTTTGTGGGATGCGAAATGGATGAGGGCAGTTCCACTGGGACAGAGGAAGCTGGGCACTATGAGGCTGCCAAGCTGAAGAAAAGGGCAGTGAACCAGACTCGCAGGAAAGGTCCAGCGCAAAAGGTTATCAGAGTTTCTGCGTGTGATGCCAGATGGGATGGGTTCAAGCAAAAATTTAGTGACAGGTTGTTGAGTTGCCAGCGCAACGGGACTGGGTGCTATTTCTGCCGCCATGATTGCTTCATGAAGGTGGAACCACTGCTGGAAGAGGTGAAGACATGGCGGGAAAATATGCAAGCCTTGGCTTCTGAAGTTATGGACAGGGAGATCTTGTGGATCTTCCAATTTTCGAGGGCAAAGACTGAAGATGATCCGCCTGTCACAAAAAAGCGAGTAGCTGCCAAAGTTCCTTGTGAGAATGAGGACGGCTCCACAACTGAAACTGAAATGGAAGATGCCAGTGATCATGACAAGAGCAGTGGAACCAGCACCTCAAACCCTGATGCTGACTCTGATGACTCAGAGCTTGATCTTAGCAAGGCTGCTCCGTCATCTCTCGTACGTCGCGTGCAGCAGCAGGCTAAAAGAGATTATTCTACCAGATGCCAGACAAAGAAGCCCAGTGTCAAGTTGAGCACGTTCATAAAAGGGGCTGACAAACTTGTTGTTATTTGTGTGCAAACCGCCTTGTTTTTGCTGGGCATTGGGTATTCTAGGCTTCAGAGGGTCTTGCACGGGAGACCTGACAATCGCAAGAGAGGGTTCAGGGTGCAACATCAGGTTGAAGCCAAGGCGTTTGACACATGCATGAGGTTCTTGCAGCTTCGTTACCACAATGAAGGGGAGTACTTGCCAGACAGATTTGTTTTTGAAGGAGCACTGAAAGACCGCTCACTCATGATCATTGCTGAAAGTGAGATGCCTGAAGCGCAGCCAACGTTGTCAGATGGGTCAGACAGTGAGATGTCAGATGTTGGACGTCAAGATGACTTGGACGAAGCAGACTCGAGGGCGTTGAGCGCCCTGGCCATCAAGTCAGTCGTGCTGAACAATCCCTTCAGCAACAGCCTAACTGGACCTGGTGCAGCGCCAGGCCCCCGCAGATGGCTGGGTGTCATGAAGCCATGCACCATGTACCAGATGCTCTTGCTTTGGTGCAAGCAATGCAATCTAAGCGCTCCTTCTTTTACAACGTTTCGAAGAGCGCTGAGAGCAGCGTCCCCCTGGCTTACCTTTCGCAAGTCCGCTGGGCAGCACGGCCTTTGCGATAGCTGCTTGCATTTCAAAAAAGCTTTGAAGGGACAGTTGCAGGCAATGGTCCGTACACAAACTCTTGAAGAGTATGCTGGGCATCTGTTGCTCAACTGGAGAGATAGGCAAGCTGACGGGGCCTGGCACAGTCAATGCGTGCAAACCAGGCAATCAGTTCTGGCTGGGCAGTCCTTGCAGTCCATGCAACAATCAGTTCTCTTGCTGCGCAGCGACGGACTTGACCAAGCAAAACATCGAGTTCCAAGAACCCTTGCGCATTCAAAGAGTTTTGAGGAAGTGATCAGGCCGGCGTTACATTGTCAGATGATTTGGGCGCACTGCTGGGGATTTCAGTTTGCATTGAGTGATCCAGATGTCAGAAAAGACAGTTGCACGCACATGGATGTGGTTGCTAGATGCCTGTCGAAGATTTATGATGCCAGTGGCCAGTTGCCAAAGCATGTGTATGTTGTCCTTGACAACACAAGTAAAGATAACAAGAACCAACACATGCTCAAATTTTGGGTCAAGCTTCGGATCCTGAAAGTTTTCGAGGTGATCTATGTGGCGTTCCCTATAAAGGGACACACTCATGGGCCCCTCGATGGGGTCGGAGGACATGCGGTTGTTCGTTGCTCGAATGAGGTATTCGACTCAGCCCACCAGCTCATTGCTGTATACCAGAAGTTTCTGAACACAGCTGAGTTTGAAGAAGGCACAGTGTTCAAGGATGCCTACAAGCACGACTGTTCCGCAGACTGGTTTTCTTGGCTTGAAGATGTTATGTTGTCGTTCAGTTGCCTTACCGGCCCAAAAGCCCCACATGGGTTTAGAATTCTGTGCCGGAAACAGTTGACGCCAGAAGAAAACAAGTTGTCGATGTCAGATGAGGCGAACAGAAGACAGTTGACAGATGATCCACACCCTGATGACCTGATGCTGGCAGTGCACCAGTTCATGTCAGATGCCAGACCCTACCAAGTCATCATGTTGTTGTCAGCTGCAAATGTAGAAAGAGTGAGGAATACCATGAGCATACAGCCCACTGGCAGCCATTCGCGAAGAAGGATATCGTGGGAAGATTGTAAGAAAGTGACTTCGAAGGCAGTGTCAGCATACGAAAAGGGAGCGATATCAGCAACTGCTCAAGATTTTTTGGTCGGATGGGTTGAGGGCACTTCCCGTCGAGAACCCCGCCCTCCTGAGTATTCCTTCCTGCGGCATCGCTTTGATGCATCACCGTTTGGATTTGAGAGGCCTCGGAATCCTCACCATCATGGCTGCCCACGTCCTGTTGTTGTCCTTCACTCTAATGGCTCAGAAGCTGCTGAGCCTGATGACACCGTGGAGGACGACGATGAGCTTGTTGTCATGTCAGAAGACCTGCTTTCAAGGTAAGAAAAATGAGCGCCCAGGAGTTTAGTTTCATCAGTTTCATTATGTGACTGAATGCGTGTCATGCTTTCATTGTCTTTCAAACTGCTATTGAGTTTTGCTCAGGTAGGCTGCGTTTGCTTGCCTGCATTGGCTGCCAAACTGGCCTGTTTTTGCGGTGCTGCATTGCAAGTCATTGTCGCGCAATGACAGGGTGGATTTCAACCAAGACCTTTTGGCCCAAACTCTCACTAGCTCCAAGACGAACGCAGTGTCTGTAGCTATGCAAGCAGAAAGGGCCTTGACTGAAAGCTGCCAGATGTCAGATGAAACAAGATGCCCAATGTCAGATGCCAGTTGCCAGCCGAAAGTCAGCTTGGGCATGTTGCTGAAGAGATGGCGGCTTCGTAAAAAAATGCTTGAAGATGCGCAAGAGCAAGAGCTACCAACAGGGATCACAGCGATGTGCCCAGTTCCAGACCTTTTTGAAAGCAAAAGGGCGTGGGAACGCAAAGTTTTCATTTACCGTGAAACTGTGAGGTCTGTAGCCTCTCAGAAAAATTAATAGTTTGCACCGTTTAGCCAGTTGTTTGAGAAAACATCGTGGCCTGGGGGTTGTGTTTCTAAGTGTCGCGTGGTAGTGGCAAAAAGTCGCGTCAGCCTTTAGAGCACCAAAACCATGTGACTTGCTCGTTGAGTGTACGGTTAAGCGTTGGGACGCATCTTCAGAAAATGATTTGTCGCGAATTGGCCAGGTGATGCTCCTTCAGCACGTCTCTTTGGGATGCTAGTTGTCAGTTGTGAATCAATTGTCAGTTGACGCTGGCAATGGCAGCTTTCCTACTGGCAACTGGCATCTTGAAACCTATTCCAAACAAACAAACTTGTAACTGCAATCTTGAAACCTGTTCAAAACACAAGCTTCTGGCAACTGGCGTCTTGAAACCTTGAAACACAAGCTTCTGGCAACTGGCATCTTGAAACCTGTTCAAAATTTCAAAACATAATTTTGAGTTTCACGTTGATTCAGAAACAAACAAACATTTAAAACCATAAAAGCGAATACGTATACATCCGCTTCCGTGGGGCAAGCTGCAGATGTACTTCTGCACGTACATGCAGATAATATAGGTCCAAAGTGTAGCAACACAGACATGCAAGCTGCAGATGTACTTACTTCCGTGCATGTAGATATATAGGTCCTAATGTAGCAACACAGACCTGCAAGCTGCAGATGTACTTCAACTGTAGTAGCGCAGAAGAAAGAAGCCCTGGGCCACTACAACAATCCTGAACTACCAAACTGACTTGAAACTACCAAATGCCCTGGCGCTGGCTTTTTTGAGATCTGAAATGCTGACATATATCGCATTTGTGAATCTTGGCTTGCTCAATCACTGACTCATCGAATCCTCATTCTCGCAAGGCTGTCACCAGCCTGTCACGTCCTGGATGTCCCAGCTGGCGATGTAGTTTCTCCACGATGGACCTTGCTGCATGCTTGTGTGTTTTGGACATCTCAACTTCATCAGAAGTGATCTTTCTGTTCTTGTCCTGAAGATCAGTCATCTCTTCAGCCACCATGATGTGCATCATCTCCTTCTTGATCCATGAGCGGTCCATGGCTGCGTAGATAGCCTTGCCAGCACGATTCACGAATCCAGGCTCATAGTTCTGCATAGATCTGAGGGCGTGAGCTCGACCTTCCATTGGCACGTGCTGACAGGCGCAAGTGCAAGGCAAGCGCAGGGCTTCTGCAACCTCCTTGGATGTCGTTCGAATCCTGGTTTGTTTTCGCACTGGACCTTCGACATCTGGTCCGGAGTAGCGTAGACCAGTCTGGCATCGGTTGCAGATCCCTTCATAGAATCCTCTCATGCTTGCCAGAGGTTCAGACTTCCAAGACTCAGCTCCATGGGGGTGTTCCACGGCATAGTTGGTCTCCTGCTCCTTGCTCACCTCCGCGATCTCAGGGACCAATGCAAGATGTGTCTCACGCTCTTGCTTTCTTTCCTCCTCCAGCTTCTGCACTTGTTCCGCAGTTCGTCGATTGAGTCGTTGCATAGCCGACCACTTCCTGCAAGGTGGGGCAATCCAAACAAAGTCCGGAGAGACTTCTCTCAGCAAGCTCACAAATTCCTCTCTCACTTCTTTTTTGCTGAAATCCCACTCCGGAAGTGAGAAGGTCGACGATTCCACGTCCGGATAGGCCTTTGCCAGGTGCACTGCCAAGTTGCCCTGGTCAACATAGACCTCAAAGAACTTGAGCTTGCGATTCTCCTGGATGCGTCGAGCCACTCTGCTGGCCAAGTCATCATCAGCTTCCAATCGCTCCTCAAGAACTGTCATCTGTTCGTCATCAACCTGTGGCTCGCTTTCCATGACGGGCTCAATGTCCCAAACGTCCAAGGGGCCATGGTCATAGACCAAATCAGCAGCATCTGGACCCAACTCCTTCTCCGGCTCGATCTGGCAATAGGCCTCCTCAGTCACATTGTCATCCTGCTACATCGTGAGATCCAGGATATAGTGGCCACGTCCGTTCCTCTCAGGTTCAAACCATTGGGCATCACCGATCTTCATCTTGCCACTCCTATAGTCATGAATGACGCCCCATGCCTCCAGCGTTGGTCGAGCCAGAAGGAAAGGCGTTGAGCCTGGCACAATTGCTGCAGTGATCGGGAGACGTTGTCCATAGACCACCGCCTCAAACTCCACCTCGTAGAGGGATTGCAGAACTTCACCTCCTCCGAATTTGAAGTTCCGCTTCACCTGCTTTGCTCGAATCGGCTGGGCGTGCTTGGTGTCATAGGACTCCAGCCATTTCTTCCAGTTCTCCTCGCCGACGATAGTGCCTGTGGCACCACTGTCGACGATTGCCTTGCCCTTGTCGGTGGTCATGAAGAAGCATTGCTCCTCCACCTTGACCTCCTCGATCACCGGCTCATCCTCCACCATAGTCACTTCTTCCTCCGGCACTTGATGCCTTGGGCCTGACTCCTGTATCTCTTGAATCGTGGCCCATGTTGCTGCGTTGATCCGGAGAGCGTTGACTTCTCCGAGGTTGCAGTAGTGGAGGTACTGCTTGTTGCGTAGGGTTTTCTCAACCCAGACATGGGTCGACGGACGAAGGGAGCACGTCGGAAAGGCGCTTTCCCCTTTCCTTTTCCTTTTCCTTTGCTGTTCGACTTCCCTTTTCCTTTGAAGCCTTTGCCACCATCTCCTTTGAATCCTCGATGACCGCCTTTTTCCACTTCTGGACCCAGCGCAACCACTGGATAGAAGCCTCTTGACAATGCTTATGAGATTTTTCACCAGCCAGAGATTGGAAATCCAATGAATTAATTGTTTGCTGTTTTTTGTTGTTTTTTTGCTGTTTGCATTTGCTGCTTTTTTCTATCGTTATTTTCTATTTTTTTGGCATTTGGCATTTGCATTTTTTGGGTGTTTTTTGGGTATTGTGGATTTTGCTGCCTGACGCCTTCGCTGAGGAAAAGTGTTGTATTGTTATTGAGTTGTGGCTTTGGTGGGTGATTTCAACAGTACGTCCTTTGTGTTTGTTGCTGGTTGCCTTAAAGCGCGTTTGCATCCATGTGGTTTGTTCTTTATCTTTGCTCTTCAGTGTAAAGAACATCTGGGAAGGCAAGTCTCATTTCGGAGACATTGGGACAGGCTGCCGCCCGGTCATCCCAGACAACCGAAACAACAGGACCTGCATTGGTTGGAAGGATTAGATTAAACAAAAGGAGGGATGGCCAAAACAACGCTTGGTGGAATTGGGGTTCCCTTTGGGAATGGCATGGGGGATGGCAAATTGGAATGGCACAAAAATGGCAAAAAATTGCAAAAAATGGCAAATCCTCGAGTTTTGGCAATTTTTTGCTATTCCTGCAATTTGGTGGTTTACAAAGATTTGCAATTTTTTTGCCATTTCAAAACTTTGGTTGTTTTGGTTGTCAAACAGTGTGCCATTCTTTTGCCATTCTAGATTTTGAGGATGAGTCAACACCACAGGGGATGCCAGGCAGAGTTTTTGCTTTATGTGGACGGCTGGTGTTGGGCATTCCTGGTAGTAGGGCCACTGCATAGGGCAACTAAGAACTACTACTGAGCATACATTGCATCTATATACAAGGGGGCTACTGGATTATTGCCATAAAGAAAAAAGCGTTGCCACATGTTCTACTCATGATTTTTACATGCTCTTGCCAATGCTCTTGGCCTCACTGGTACAAGTGTGAGAACTCTGCGCTGCTGCAAGCGCTGCAAGCAGGGGAACCCAAAAAAGAAAAACATTGAAAACACACAGTAAAAAACAGCAAAAAAACAGCAAAACAGAACGCCAAAAAAAAACAGCAAAAAAAAAGAAACAGCAAAAACAATGGGAAATCAGAATGCATAAAAAACAGCAAAAAAATGCGAAACAATTCAACTGGAGCTGACCCAGTCTGTGGCTATAAACATCTCATAAGACAATGCCAGCTCCTTCATCCTCTTTCGGCTCTCAACGTAGCTGACATAGGCTTCGTCGGTCATCTCCATGGCTTCTTCCAACTCCTCAGGAACTTCGTCGTCTTCTTCTTCGTAGAAGTTCTCCTCCTCATACCAATCAGCGTCTGCTCCATAGTCTTCAGCCCAATACTCTTCGTGCCAATCCTCCTCATCTTCCTCGTAGTAGGTCTCCTCCTTGGGGTTGTTGGCACTGGAGCGAACCAAATCACGGGCATTCGGACGATGGTCACCTCCGAACATTCTGATCAAGGCCTTTCCAACTTTGTCGTACTCGAGGTCTCCTGCGCACATGGCCTTGATTTGGACGTGAGTCCATCGAGGAACTCCTGCTCTAGTGAGGAGATGCCATCCTGACAACAACGGAGGGACTTCCACATTTACTTCTCGCATGCGCTTCAAAAGCGTCTTGTGCCTAATCAAATAGGCTTGCAGCTCTTCGCCCTTGTTTCTGCTGAACTCACTGAAGAACTCGTCACATCGTGATGGAACCTCGATCAGGTCTTCATACTGGTAAAGCTCGAAGTACAAGGCCCTGAAAGGGGTAGGAGCAGACTCAATTGCATTGAAGTCCAACTGCTCCGTTGCATCCCAAGCCACATCGCGAAGGCTGCTGATCACCAAATAGGCACCTTCCACTGCAGTGTCATGTCCTCGACGGGTGCACTGCTTCTCAAAGAGCTCCAACCTCCTTCTGTAGCTCCTGTAGGTCTTCTGCGTGAATCCCTCTGCGGAAGGGCATGCCTTAGCCAAGCCAGAATCCAGTCCTCTTGTATTCTGTTGTTGAGGGGCGAAGGTCATCTGAGGTGGATCCTCGAAGTTGGCGAAGAGGCCACCGCGCCCCGCGGTGGATGTCTGTGTGGGACCGGCAGGTCCAGGAACGGAGGTTCTTGCTCTCCGTACGGGGGTTCTCCGTGGACTCCCCCTTTCGGCTCCCGACATGGGTGGCGATCTTATTCTCGACTTTCCTAAGGAAAACGAAGTGCGCCTCAACCAAGTAGGTCACCGAAGACACCGGCAGTCAGGATCTCCGCCGGCTCCGCTACCAATCTCGTTGGAGTAGATCACGGCAATCGAAGTCCGCACTCCTTTCTCACACGCAAGTGGATGTCTGGGGTCGTGTCCGTCCTAGCTCAAGGGCCCTGAAATGGCCGAAGCGGGAAAATGAATCTCAACAAGCTTGCGATCGATGCGTGCGAAAGCAAACAGCAAGATATATATAGAGAGAGAGTAATAATACTAATGCCCTTAATTTGCCGTAAGGGATGTAAAGTGCAAGCTGGGGCACCTTTCGACTGAGCCATCCACCATACTCATCTTCCAAGCACTGCGGCAAGTCCCAGTGGTAAATCGTTGCATAAGGTTTTATCCCAGCCTTGTTCAGCTCGTCCAAAAGGGATCCATAGAACTTCACGGCTTCTGGGTTAGGGTCTCCACGGCCCGTGGGTAGCAAACGAGACCAAGATATGGAAAAGCGATAGGCTGGCAAGCCCAAGTTCTTCATCAGTTTCACATCTTCCTTGAAGCGGTGGTAATGGTCACAAGCCTTGGTTCCATCATCCCCATTCTTCACCTTTCCTTCCGTCGCACAAAAGGTATCCCAAATACACGCAGTCCTTCCTCCTTCAAAGGCAGCGCCTTCAATTTGGTAGGCTGCAGTCGCACTGCCCCACACAAAATTATCGGGAAACTTCAAGCTTACTGTACCTGTAGCTGGCTTTTTCACAGTATTTGCTGCTGTGGCGGGCTTCTTTCTCGCAGCAGTAGTTTGCGAGGCAGGGCGCTTCTTCATTGTGACGCACAGCAGCACCAGGTCAAATTCTTGAATTCAATGCTCAAAGCCAAGGCTATCGGGATAGGAGGCAAATAAACCCGGTGGGGTTGGGCCTCCAACTGAATTCAATTCCTTTCATTTGGGAAGTACCTCTTCGTCAAGAAACAAACCAATCTTTCGCGACTACCACGGTTAACTTTCGTGAACCTTCTGGCTGTACTGTACCAGCTCTTGCGCAAAAATGTTGCAACTCAATGTGTATATATATATATATTTCGTTAATGTTCACCCAAATACTGCAATAGAACCTGGAAGGCTGTGACGGCTGTGAAACAAATTTGTTCTATGGACCTGTAGATCAATCCCCATTTCGAGGATTTCGCACGGTTAGAGTCTAGAGCAATTAAACAGTATCTTGCAAACCTATCCCTGAAGCTCAAGCTTCTTGCCGACCCTGTCGCTTCATGATTGTGCTTAGAAGCCTTTTTCCATTTCGGACGTTTTACACGTTGCTTCGCGGCCAGTTGCGCACAGAAAATTGCGCCTTGCAAGATACTGCAATGCGCTCTCGGCGTCTCGGATCACGAATCGGTTGGCAAAGTTGGCCTGGCGTCGCCCGCAAAAATAAACTTCGTTTGGAAGCGCGACCACCATGATAAAAACCGCCTGACCGAAGCAACGCCGGAATGACTTGCAATGGACCCCAACATTTGCCCTTCCAGCCTGACATCGAGTTGACAATAATTCCCTGAAACTTGCACTTGTCCAATTCGACGCCTCAGGGAGAAGCATTGACAAGCAGCATGATGATGGTTGCGTGATACACTAGAAAGTTTCGAGCAACAGAATGCTTTACAAAAAAGTACAATAACCAACCACACACCAACTCGCGATCCAGGGTTCGCCTCTCACGCCCTTCCACTAATAGTGGGGTACTAGAGAGTAGGTATGTACGACACAAATCATCATGTACACAAAGAAAAGTATATCACACCAAAATCCAGCACCGGTGTAAGACACAGTGAGGATGGGTGACATGTTTAAAAATGAATTACTACCAGCCACATTTACAAGCATCTAATTTGGAACATCAAGATCTGCAAGGTTATGTTTCAAGCGAAGGCGTTTCTTGAGCTTTTGATAGAGGTTGTGCCTCTTTCGGTATGGAATATCGGAGTAAGGCGGATTGGGACAAAGATTATCAGCAGCTTTGAGTGTCGGAAGCACTCGCACATTAAGTGGATACGATTGGGTCGGCATGGACGAATAGGATGTCAGATTCGCAATCAGCAGATCAGCAAATGGCATATTAGGACGCGCAGAGATGCCCCCCACAAGACTACGGTGGTATCCCAGTCGGATCAAAGAGCTTGCATTGGTCTTCTTATATCGGGGGTAAAATTCGCATCGGAGGGAGTTTTCCAGGTAACGCACAACAGAGCGAAGAACGGAGGCTTGATGCCACAAGCTTCTTTTTTCCTGGGGTTGGATTTGAGCTTCGGGTGAGTCATAGTCATACGGCAAAGGCAATTTTTCAGTTTTTGATGAGATCCAAATTGGCAGAAAATGTCCTGTAAAAATCGCAAAAGTAAAAGGCCAATTCATACCATGAAACACCAAAATCACCTGGTGTAGCCGGCGAATCACATGATCTCCATTCAAAGGTATGAAACATACTCCAAACCTTAAATGCGATGGTGAAAAGACCAACCAAGAGCTGAAAATGCCACAGCAGCGAATGGTGAAAAGAGCCGAACTCTTGATGATATTGACAATTAAACTGCAAAAGGACACCCCTAGAACGGGTAGTTTTGCTGTTTGGGACAACTCAGTGAGTGTTAGCTACGAGGAATCCCCATTTCTCTCAGGCAAGTGGGCTGTACACTTGGCAAAATCAAAATCCAAAATAAGTAATAAGATACAAAAAGCAAATATATAATGGGTATCAATTCGAGAATGAAACCCAATGAGAGTTACATCTAACAGGTGTCGAGATCACAAGCAGTTGTGGCTTGTCGTCTGCTTCCGCAATATCTGGTGTCAGTGTAATTCAGATCAATTCAGGCTCTGTGTCCAACAAGCCACAGCTGGGTAATGTTGGGATCTGTCCCAGACAATCTGACTGCCACTACTCGTTGCTTCGCTGCGAGTCAAGAAGCAGCTGAATTTAAGAGTAGTTTGCGCCAGCAAAGTTTGAACACATACCATCTTTGGAATGCATCTTTTGGATGGAAGAGGCCCCACAAAAATGCTATGAACACACGATGGAATTCAACTGGGTCTTGCGGCGCTTCGCTCATGAATGGAGACCATAACTACAAACGCCGAAACCTTAGGTTCTTTGTTTAGAAAGAAAGCCATGGCTGCCCAGCAACAAAGCGCCGGAGACGCCGGCTACCCTCATCGTGGCAAAAGGAGGAAACCCACGCACAGCCAAACGCAAAGTTTAATAGCGCAAGTGCATCGCTCAAGCACTGAAAATAGGTTACCGAGCAAGGAACCCCAGTTACCCAAGCAAGGCCTTGGTTTACACCTGGAATTCAAGGTTTTAATGCGCAGGCAAGGAAGCAACAGCTGCTGAAGCCAGGATCCGTCAGTTCATCGAACCATACTCGAAAACCATTGACCGGCCCAGTTCGCTCCGGCAGCATGTAACCCATGAAAGTGTCCTATGTGTCCTTCTCGTAGCTACGAATTTCCGGTATAGTACAGTACACGACAACGTTGCGGCTGAGCAGGGTTGCCTGGAGATCAGATCTTCACTCACGACTTGGCTGCGCTCTTCGCGCCGCGTTCAAAAGTCGAGGGTGGTATTGCAACTCCGCCGAGGTTGGCAAATGGGCTACATACATGACATGACATGACATGACAAGACCAGACAAGACAAGACACGACACGACACGACAGGACATGACAGGACAGGACAACACAAAACAAGACAAGACAAGACAAGACAAGACTACATGCATACATGCATACATGCATACATTACATTACATTATATTACATTACATTGCATTACATTTCATTACATTACATACATAAATACGTACATACAATTACCATACCATACCCTACCCTACCCTACCCTACCCTACCGTACCGTAACATAACATGACATGACATGACATACATAGGTATATATATACATACAGTATATTGGATAGCGCAGTCAGTGACGCTTCCCAGGGTACTCATTGGAGCAAGTCCGCTTCGCTTGTTCTTTTAGATTCTAAAGCACTCTCTTGAGAGTAGCCCATTGTCCCCTTTACCATCTCAGGCGGCTTAGGGAGGATTTCGTTGACATCTTCCGGATGTTTTCCAAAAAAAACTCTCTGCGCAGCGTCTTCTGTTGAGAGTCCCGCACTGTTTCAACCTGCTCTGAACTACTATATCTACAATGCTTCTGTGGGCACGGAACGGGTTGCTGTGAGCTACACAGGGTCACTCTGCTTAACCCTCAGCTACTCTGACCCTGTTTCATGTTGGTCAGGACTCTCACGCGGTTCAAGTCTAGGCTACCCAAAGTGGGGGCTCGAAACTAGTTTGAATGCAAAGGAACAGTTCCACACACCATTGAGAGAGAGAGAGAGTTACAGGTCTAAGCAGAGCCTACTGTAAGCGCACGCGCTTTTGAGCGAGAACGCGGGTTTGATGTCACAAGTGTGAGGTTCCACAAGAGCCAATCCTTCATCTATCAAAACAGCAAGGCAGCAGCAAAGATGCAAATCTTTCTGCCAAACTAATTTCAACAAAACTGGAAATGAGAGACGACTTTCAAGGTTAACTGTATAGGCCGGACTCTGAAGCACAAAGACTCGTCGCCAAAGTGGAGAGGAACAGCTACATTTCATGAAGGGGGGGCCTGTTGTGAGTGGCGGACCATTGTTCTTTGTACAAGTCCTGAAAAAATAATCCTGAATTATGACAAGATGTCGCTTGTTATGCGCATGTGTTCCACCCAATGATGTTAAAGTGGTTATAAATCTAAAAGGTCCAAGAGAATATTGCATCTCCTCCAAGGAGGTGATATGTTTCAAAGAAACAAAACAATACATTCCAATGGGAGTACTTGCGCCTGTATTTGGCCGCATTTGTTGCACTCTAGAAGCACAGATTTAATCTCGGACACTATAATACACGTTTGTCAACATTTTTACGTGCAATTCTCCAATATCTGTGATCCCCAAGTCGTACTTTTCACAGAACATGATATTCCTGAAAGAAAGTCAGGACTGCACGAAGTCACCGTTGAAAGATTGCAATACTTGCTTGAGAGGAGCGCAGCAATAGTTTTGAAAAGACCTTCAAGGTCCAACAATCGCGCGGCGCGCAACAAACAAAGCAGTTCTTTGGCCTGTTAAATTTGAAAAAGGTATGTTCTACATGAGAAGGTTCCTTGAAGGCTCCCGCCCCCCACCCTACCAGCCAACGGAACACATTGCGTCTCTTTTCTTTGATGTCAAACTGTCACTGCGTCAGTCTATGGCCCTGGCCTCGCCGGCTTCCGCAACTGGTGACCCTGGGCCAACATGGGCTGACAAAAAACAATATATATATAAGCAAATCACTTGCAAGTCAGCTCTGAACATGCTGGAGTAGCAAAGAACGAACATGTTTGAACGTTAATTTGCATTAACTTGCGGTGCGCCCTCTCTGCACATGGAGAAGTGTCCCTTGTGTTCATGTGACGTCGTATTGAGCCCGGATATTTGCTGCGCGCCCTTTGCCAACGTATGTTGGTGAATTTTGTGATCTGTCCTGGTGGTTCCTCGTGCCAATTAACCACACACCGGACGACATCGGCCTTGGCAAAGTTAAGATTTGCATGATTTTTGCAAGACCTGAATGGTGCGGGTTGCTACTTGTTGATTGAAATTGGTGTTGGTAAGTTTTGTCGCGGTGGTTTAGGTTCATATCGTTGTCGCGTGTGTTTAACTTGCGTTCGAGCCACCTGGTCTCCTCTCATTAGGCCGAACAGCACCATCTTAGAACACACTGAATATGTCGAATTTACTATATAATTGTTTCTACGAAACCACAAATGGAAAAGTTGCAAGACGCGTTCCAATGCCCTGCTTTTCTTGAGCCATGAACGAGTACAGCGGTATGCTGTCCACTAGAGCGCTTGGCTTTCTCTAGGGCGCGCTTCCAAGTCAAAATGAAGTTGGCTTTTCAGCTTTCACACTCCCCCTACTGCAGTATGCAGTACATGTTCGTTGCGTCCCTCATTGATCGGGACAAAATTCAAAACTTCCATCGGAAGCAGAGTCCTCCTCCGTGGTCGGGACAGAGTCGCGATCCCCATCCAGCAAGGCAGGCTATCTGGCTCAGGGGGCAAGCTCATGAGACCTCACTGCCACAAGCATTGATTGCACTTCCGGTGTATGCAAGCCTCTGCTTTTCCTCAGCTTGGCTGACATTCTGCACAACAAGTCTTCCTCGTTCACCAGCGCGGGATTGGTGGGACTCCGAGTTGCCATAGCCCCGAATCGAAGACACCGAGCCCGGCGGTGGACGGGGCCCTTGCGGTCAGTAAGATCATCTCCTGCATCTCCGCCGTGCTGTGGGCCAAACTTCACATAGAAAAAGGTATACCCACACCATTCATGGATTCCCTCCAGTCGCAGTCGCGGTTCTCCACCCAGCTGTCACTGACCACTCTTCGCTTCCAAACCTCTCGGGAATTGCCCCGAGAGAAAGCCACTGTGACCCGGGCGCTGGACAGATTGCCAATGGCCATCGGCGTTCCACGGTGCAAAGAATAACTCTGGCCTTCTTCAAACCTCTCAGCCACCATTCTCCTCCGCCATTTCCGCAGCCGAGGCACTCACACCGGTTGACGCCGGCTCATGGATGGCTCAGAGTGGCGCGGCACAGCAAAAAGGAAGGCCCGCTCTTGAAGTTCCGCCACAGTTACACCTGCGTGATCGACTTGGTCAACAGGTCCGCGCACAGCTCCTTGCCCGGCACACGTTCAATGTCCCAAATTTGCGCTGGATTCGTTCTCGCAAGACATGGCTGCGGAGCCTCAAGTGTCGTTTTCGCCGCGGCCCACCGGGTGCCTGGAGCAGCTGAAGCCGGAGAGGTTGTCGACTGCTCCCACACAGGGTCAAGGCGCCGGTGTAGCCCATCAGCTCACTTTCAGTGGCGCTGAAGGTGGCAAATGCCTGAGCTCTTGACTCTCAACCAACCAAAGCGCCACCCCATAGAGCAATGAAACCTTGATGGCCCTTTCCACCTGGAGCAAATGAGGCATCATTCCTCTAACCATATTGGCCCAGGTTTGTGGAGCATGGGGAATAGGCACAATCCAATGCCCACTGCCACATCCTTCAAGAGGTCACACCACAGTTGCTTCCAACCCGTGTTCTTCCTCCAACCTCTTCATCACATTCACACCATCCTGAAAGCCGCATTCCACCTCACCCTTCATGATCACCTTCTGCTTGTCCAGCGGTGTTTCACAGAACCTGCATCCAGTCAGCATTGCCAGTCGACACAATCCATATGCTTCACAGACCACTGGGTTGTCCGCGATCTGAAGACCACACTGACTCCAGGCACACCACCCTTTCATTCAGGCTGCCACTCAACGCCGCTGTCGATTCCCTTTGCACCAAGCATGAAGAAGCGCGCGACGATGGTGAAGACAAAGAAGACATGCAAGGACTTCCCCCCCAGTCCGGATTCCCTCCCGGACTGGGCTGCCATCACGTAGGCCCCGAAGTTCACATTCTTTGGCAGTCTCACGTAGGGCATGATTGGTTCTGGTGGCTGCTTTCCTGTTAACCGATGACCTGGTCGTGTTGGATCAGGCGAGAAGGAACTGGTCAAGAAGCGGCCGTAACATTGGAGGCCCGTGTGGTTCAGTCGAGGGGGTGGTCGGCGTGGGCACCATGCAGGAATGGTGGCTGCTATCCAGGAGAGCTTGACGAGGTATTTGTTGAGACTGGCCAACCTGGACCCGGACCCGGACGATGGAACTTCAACGGCAGCAGTCCGGCGGCTTGACATCAGCGTCAACCCTATACCGTCGGGAAGACTATGGGATGGGAACGAAGGCCAAATACATCATGGTGGCAACTGTTGCAGTTCCAAAACTGGCCAGGGAGGAGGAGGAGCTCCAAGACCCTGGAGAACTACATCAAGAAGAAGAAGACCTGCCTGTATTGGAGTTGGGTGAAGATCCACCGCCAGTGGAGGAGGACAAAGAAGAAGATGTGAGGGCCCTCCACCATGCAATCGTGGGACGACTACATCAAGGATCTGGCGGAGCCGGTGGGCGTCCAAAACATCACTGTGGCAGAGCCCCTGCAAAGCAGATCTCAGCAGGATGTCACTAAGGTGGCCACTCGAATCTTCTGCAGATGTCGGTCGACGGGAGTGCAGATGCTGGGAGTCCACACAGACCGTGAGTGCAGCTTTCCATCGCGCACCTTTCCCTTTTGCCGGCGCTTTGGACTACGTCAAACCATGACTGGAGGAGATGAAGGTCCCTCAAACGGCCGCGTCGAGAATGAGGTCCAGCAAGTGAAAAGGCGGCTGAGGCTCCTGATAAATTAAGGAAAGTGGTCTGGAAGAGCACTGCTGGCCGGGCATCGCTCGATATGTGGGGGAGGAACGACTTCGCAGGCAGCGCATGGCATTGGGAGTTCCCTCAATTCCTCTCACGCCGATTGGGAGGAGAGTGACAGTGAAAACCAAGCGGTGGCATCGAGCTGGCTTTGGACCTTTGACACCACCGTTCAGGACGACAACTCTGATGCAGGTCCATCACTGTACGCACGGGTTGCTGTTCGAACAGACCCGAACGCAGAGAAGGCCATCCTGGCTTTGGAAGAAGCTTGGCACTTCCGGAGACCTTGATCGCTCATCACCATTTCTCCCCCGTCGGCCTTCTCCATGATGTCCAATAGAGCGATTGCTGTTCCGGTAGCACTGGGCATCCTCTTCGGATTTGAAGCACGCAATCGATCCGTCCATGTTCAGGGTGATGGATTCTGACCCCAGCTGCAGTCCACTGCAATTTGTAGCCCAGCTTCAACAGTCGGTGTAGTGGCACTATCACCTCTACTCGATCACGCGAGAGCAGCGTGTTGTGATCCTTGACTTTGAACAAGGTAAATGACCCTGAGGCCAGTCCCACTCGCGCTGGAACCAAGTGGGGCAGCTCATGAGGGCGAGCTTCACGCAGTCCATTCGTGGCTCCTCCAACCAGAAGGTTCAACTGCGCCACCTCTTGTTTTCATTTTGGGCTTGAGCTCCTTGACCCGCAGCACCTTCATTCTGCGCAGCGTGTTGTAAAGACGTTGGCTCAGACAACAGTTCCGCCGTAGCTGTAGTGTCTCTTCCAGGAGACTTGTCAGCCACGTCCCCAATCCGTGAGGTTCCCGACACCCGAGAGGTCTCAATCTTCTCAGCTTTCTTGGGGCTGGGCTCTTCACCTTGGCCATTTTCTTGCGCAATCCACCACATCCATAGCATCTCCCCTTCATATCCACGTTCTCGTGGACATCGGCGCAAGTCGCCCCTTTTCTACATCCATCATCACTCTTCCAGAACTTGCACACTGGCTTTGACCCAGCACGCTCATCACTTTCTTTTCCTCCATAACCATTGCCCTCAAGGACGTAGAGGTCGACTGCGTTGTAGGTTGAGGACCGGTTGCCGCCTGAACATACTCCGCCAACTCTCGCGCCGAAGGCAGTGTGGCAGCATGATCCACTCTCAACTCTTGTCTGGCATTGGCCAGTCGGAATGGCAGCTGCTGCCCTCCAATCTTCGTGGCTGCATCGATCATCCTCTGAACTGCAACCATCAGAACAATCGGATCCGGCCCCAACCACCTCCTCCACAGCCTAACCTGAGTGAGAAGGTCGGTGATGCTCGCAGTGATTATTTTGCCTCAACCAGGTTCTTGAGCAGCTGGGTTTTCTCAGCTCCTCCGCCAGGTTGGTAGGCAATGTGCAACCTGTAAAGGATGCGCGCAACCGACAGCTGACGACCTGAAACCCGGCGCACACTGTCCGGCAAGGCTCCCAGCACGCATATAGCAATGCCACGCTGCTCGATCCCAGTGGGGGAGTGTGAGCCATTGGGTTTAGTGGTCCTGCGCCACGCTCAATGATTCTTCCCACCAGCCCTTCGCTGAGTTGGAGATGTCTGCCATGAGAGGGAAGGCCATCGTGAGCCAATCTCCAAAGAGGATCGACGCACCCTCCACGTTGGGCGGAGGCAAAGACGGCAGCTGAAGTCGGCCCAGTTGCACACCTTGTACCGGAGGTAGTCCAGGAGTCGCTGACAAAGACCATGTAGGTGTGGATCAATTCTCGTCCAGCAGCCCTCGCGTCTCCTTCTCAAAGCTCACTTCTGCCTTCCTGAGGACGCGTGCCCGGAGTCATCCATCGTAGGCGACATAGAGCCTTGATCCAAGCCTCCAGCCGCGACCAAGGACCTTTGAGGATTCACTCCAGCTCCATCACACCTTGCACAATTCCGCCACAATTGAGAGTCTTGGCACCCTCCTCGAATTTCGGGGATCGGACTGTCCTCCCACTAAGATGCCCTCCTTGGTGTCGTTGATCATTGCCAAGTGCAAGAGGTCCTAGTAGTCCCTGACCTTGTACTTGACAATGCGGCATCTGACCGTGACCTTGAAGAGGCCCAGCCCTCTTTGATGTCTTGCAGGATCACCTGGTTGTTGTCCAGGATGTAGTGTCCTATAAGGTCACTTAACCTCTGTTGGTAGTGTTGCCGAAGGTCTCACCAATCTATAAGCACGCCCTCAGTTTCTTTTAAAGGGGTAGCACCCACGCGATCTTCCCGAACCTGGCTTCCAGGCACTCCAGAACTCAAAACCACTGGTGCACCTCGAGGACCTTCTAGAGGTGGAGTTGACATGGCTCTTCGCGGACCCGCAGCCTTCGAGCGCTGTTCCTCTTCGATCAGGGCGTCCAGGCGCCTGTGGTTTGGGCTCATAACCTACGATTGAAAACGCAAACGGAAAAGTCGCAAGACGCGTTCCAACGCCCTGCTTTTCTTGAGCCATGAACGAGTACAGCGGTATGCTGTGTTATGACCACTAGAGCGCTTGGCTTTCTCTAGGGTGCGCTTCCAAGTCAAAATGAAGTGCGCTTTTCAACTTTCACAGTTTCATTCAACCGTCTTCGCGATGAGGGCCTGACCTTGCAATACATCACTGGAACCCACATTTTGTTGCGCGCCTGAGAAATCCGAGTCCGTACCCCGACGCACCATAGCAGTTTGCAAGGTTTTTTGGTAACTGGGCCCCTGCACCTTCGAATGCCACGCCGCAAGGGCAGCTGCAAATTCAAGGTCCTCCCACTGCCAATGTAGAGTTGGACACTGAACAAAGTATCATGGGCTTTTCTTTCAAAATTTCAATCTGAAGACACGCCAGCTCAACTTGGTTTGGGACACAACCTTTCCTCATCAGTCACTTCAGAAGCAGCTGCTCTGATTGTGACATGCGACCTCAACTACTGCGATGAGGAAAGTTAGCAAAGCGTTGCAAGTTCCACTTGGCTTTCATCAACGATACTTCTTCCAAGGCATCCCGGCCCAGGAATACCATTGGCAGTGTGGAACCTGGGCCACCAATTGAAGGCCCATATAGTGACTTAGTGTTCCCTGCTCCACACTGTGAGACTGTGAGTCAAACCAATGTCATACTGTTGGTTGTGAATGAAGTGGTTGCCCGTCAAAAATACGCACGCTACGCCGCTACGTGTCGCTAACACGTTAAAACAACGGTGGATCGACAAAGAGATGAAGAGCCCTCTCAGGACCCAGGTTGGCACCCGTTGTCCCAACCGTGGGGGTGGGCCTTCCTTCGTTGCCAAACGTGAACTTTCTTCCCACCAAGGCGGCTGGCTGCCACGCAGGCGCAGGGCCATGGTACGGGTTAGGGTGCGGCGGCAATGACACAGTGCTTATGTGGGCAATGACAGCACTACAGCCAGCCACGCGGACACGGGCCGGCGGCAGGCATGGGCTGGCGCCAGCAAAACTAGTTGCAACGACGACCACGCGTAGCTGAGTTTGCAAATCGCTGTTGAACGCATTCCCCCCGCGTGTTCTCTCACCACACAGAGTTCGCAGCGACGCTGTGGGCCAGCCTGGTCATCAAAGCCTTTTCCATACAAGTTGGAAAAGCGCCGGGCAAAAGCGGGCCGTGAGCAGCCAATCAGCAGGTCTCACATCCGATTGGTTGGACGGTTGCCCCACGTCAACAATTAAGGTTCTTAACAACCGCGCCAAGCTCGTGGGTCATAGGCAAACAGGCCTTCCTGCGCGGCGGGCGCAGCCGCCTTGACTCGGCAACCGTGGAACGGAAAACGGTACCCAATGCAAAAACTACTCTAACAATTCTCTGAACGTGTGGCCACCGTCTGCCTATAGCTCCTAGAAAACTGGCAGACCGCTGGCAAACTCGAGGCTCAAGCCAAAGCCGAACAAAGCGGAATTCCCTCCTTGCAGCCGGCCTGTCTCCAACTGTTCCCGGACCCTGAAAGTTTGGAGGCATTGGAGGCCCGACTTTGGCAATTAATAACGGACAACCTTCGGCCAAGAAAGCACCTTAGGCAGGACTCGGCAGAAAGGCGCTGTCCGCACACTATGCTGGGGGCGAGCCCAAGGGAAGGGATTCTAGACGACAGCAACACAAGCTTCACTTCGCAAGCAGCAACTCAACCTTCTTCCCACCAAGGCTGCTGGCTCCCATGCACGCGCAGGCCACGCAGGTACGGTTTAGGATCTGGTGACAAGCTAAAAATGTCAAACGCTTCTGCTAAACTGCTAACCCAAGGATTGACTCGAGGCCATTGGTCGAACCCGAAAAACGCACTGACAATTTGCGCTATTTGCCTTGAGTGCGCTATCCCAGCCTAGTACAGTGGCGCATCTCTGCCCTCGCGAGAATCTCGGAGCATGGGAACACAACTGCCATGACCAAAGGCTATGGGCTATCAAACCCGGCCAAGCCAAACTTGTACCCTTGTAGGCTTTTGGATCCATGTTCACAACAACTCTCAACAAAGCGTACCATTCCAAGTTCCCTTTCTAGAGTTAGGGTTGGGCCTGTGTGGAGAACGCCCAGTCTTGGTGCGACGACAATGCCGGAATGCAAAAAGTTATCTTTGTGTTGAGCTATGGTGCAAACAAATCTTCCCTGAACAAAGCAATCTTGCGAGGCAGGCAGCCAAAGGGCATCTTTGAGGGTCAGCTCGAAAGAAACCCGCTCATTGGCACTGCAAAGCAGATAGAGTAAAAATAGAAAACGGTGTTATGGTGTTCACAAGAAACTGGAACAAGGCTCATCTAGCCTGAACCGGGTGTCCTCCAAATAGCAAGCGGGTGTCCAAATTTCTACCCGCCCGGTAAACTCCAAGGCGCAAGCTGGCAGCTTTTTCCACGGACTCGCAGCATTCGCTGCAATTTGCAATTCCAAACAATCAGCACTTGCACGTATCAGAGGCATCCCATTCAAAACCATAATGATAGCAAATAGCACCAAGTTCAATTACCAGGCTCCATGCGCACATTGCAACCAAGCCAGCAGGTCACAATGCTGAATCTTCGCTTATGTTATTTTTCACTTTGATCTTCCATGTGACGGGGTATTGTCCCCGCTACCACATCGCCTCAACAAGCCGCGGTTCTAGGAATCACGAAGCTTCAAGGCAACCTTCAACGAACGCGACCATTTTACTCGAACAACTCTCACCTCGTCCTAAAGCCCCTCGTGAAGCTTAAGGCTTCAAGAAGCACACATCACAAACTCAAACAGGTTGCGATTGCCAGTAAACTGGCACACCGGCTGCCAGCTAGCTGGCAGTCAAAAGCCTACCAAGGTTAAGCGCGCCCAGCTCAAAACCCCAGCCCTTCTGCCATTTGGTGTTTGTTGGAAGCTGAGGTGTCCTTACTGAACCAACACAATTTAACAGTAAAACCGCGACAAGTCCTTTACGCCGCACAGGTTTTGCAACACTTAATTACTCCAAGCGCAAATAGGTATACCAAGTGTTCGAGGCTTTCCTGGCCAAAAAAAATTTTGCTGGCTAAATTGCGACGGGTATTCCTGGCCAAATGAATTTGGTTGGTCAAATTGCGACGGGTTTTCCCGGCCAAATGAATTTGGCTGGTCAAATTGCGACGGGTTTTTTAAAAATTCATCACATGTTTGGTGGCCAAACCCATTTGGCCAAGTGGTTTTGGCCAGAAAACCCATCACGATCTGGAAGCTTGACTGGCCCCAGAAAAGCGATGGATTTTTCAAAAAAAACCAATCGCAATTTCATAGGTTTTGGAAAAAGCAACCATCAATTTTTGAAGTTCGGAGTGAGCTGGAAAGTCTGACGGGTTTCAATTTTCCTTACTTAATTGCGACGGGTTTTTCAAAAAACCCATCACATTTTAGGGTTGGGGCCCGCGTCTGAAACGTGACGGGTTTTCCAGGCCAAATCAATTTGGCTGGTAAAATTGCGACGGGTTTTCCGTCTCCAACTCATTCATTCCTCGAGCTTGGCCGGGCGCAAGGCACTGAAGCTTCGGGCGCACATTGCACCTCCAAGCTTCATTTGTTTGCGTCCGACTGCTCCAAGCATAATCTTCCAATCCAAGATCGTCGAGCCTCAGCTCCTGAACCCCAATGCAAGGTAAATGTCATGCGAGAAAGTTTCACACGTCCAAGCTGGGCATATTGAGCAATCAGCATGTAAGCGCAGCGGTTGATGCTTCCAGCTGGCTCAGGCAACCCTCGGCGCCGCAAAGAAGATCAGACCTACATCAGCGCATGACTCCGCGGAGGGTCGACAAAGATCCGGCAAATAGTGAAGTACGAGTTGGACCTATTGAAGTTGCAACGTCATCTGGAAGCGAAAGCTCTATCAAAAGGCGGCGCAAAACTTTTGAAATAGTGGTGCTTGGCTGTGGCGCCAGAAGCGGTGGATGATGTGGTTGCGGTTGTGAAGAAGGAGATGGTCTCTGCGGACTCTTCACGCGTAACGTCCCCATCATCATCATCACGTCTCCACGCTGGCATGGCTGCCCACTACGAAGGAATCTAAGCAATTGAAGTTCCATGACTGTATATACAGGTCAGTCTTGCGTGTGTCAAGCGCATGTGGATGTTGCCTCATTCTTAGAGCTATTTGCTCCCAGGCAGAACCAAATAAACTACATGGCTGTGTTACATGCTTTTAACGGAGCCAGCAAGAAACTTGACAACAATGTACTTTTCCAAATCAAATACCCACTTGCTGTTTGGAAGACACCCGGTTCAAGCTAGATGAGCCTAACAGTGTATGAGTACGCTTGAAATGTTCTGACATAGCGACAATTCAATTGGCCTTCCTCGTGGATCAAATAAGAGAAAAAAAGGGCCTGGCAGATCGCCCCGCCAGGACCTCTAGGCCATTGGGAGAGAGGAATCTGTCCACGTCCTCGCAGCTTCAGCTTTCACCAAAAAATTGAATTCGGCACAAGAAAAGGAAAGGGACTAGGGAACGTATGGAACATCACATCGTGCCTTCCAAACGAGAAGGACCTACCGTAAATGGTGTCCTTCCCGTACTTTCTTCTCCATTTGTTTTCTTCTGGCTGTTGTACCTGCGCCGGATGTTTCTTGTGGCTCCGACTTGGCAGCTCTCGAGCCAAATGTTAAGTTTCCCAAAAAATCTAGGAATCATATGAATAGCGCGAGCGCTTCTTCAAGGAAGCTTCCCCCCGCCGCCTTTTAGGGCAGCGGGGGCTGCGTTCTGGATGAATCCTGGGTCCTAAGTAGTAGCCACTTAAGCTACTAGCTACTTAGCTACTACCTCTACGGCCTACCCCTTTAATTAAAAGCAAAATTTTTCGCACACATAGACTCACGGAGTCTCACGGACACCCTAGCCGCGCCTGCTCGCTAGGTACTTTCGGCTTTGGCCTCCTTTGCGAGCATTCAAAGCGTTACAAGAACCAAAGCAGCGGTTTCGCGCAAATAATCTCAAGATTATAGCATAGTTAAGAATCCAATCATGGCAACCAATATGTACATGGAGCTGAGAAGCGGCTATTAGGCATGCGCGTGGGTATTTGTTTGAAGGTCCACTTGCACTGCACACCCCCAAGCGATATGTCATGGAGCCATCCTGATGAAACGCTGTGCGCACAACTCCTCATATAACTGCTTCACCTCAGATCGTCACTTCTTGCGTTCGAATATCGCGAAAAGCAACGTGTACCAGATTCTCTTGTACTCTCTGGCATCCACCAACGTCAAAAAGGTAAACAACAAACGTCAAACCCAAGGCCCTAGCTAGCAGGCCCGCCACAATTTGACATGCAAAAACGCAGCTCTTGGCGGCTTGGCGCTGATTTTGCCGGCGGTAAACAAAAAGAACGATGACAAAAAGAACGAGACATAACGAGACCCTGTTTTGAAAAGGCTTGAAATGGGAATTAGGGTGGAGCAACAGCAAGCGCTTCGAAGTAATGTGGCAAGGGGAAAGGCAGACAGGGAAAAGTCACAGCTACCCATGCGCAAGCAAAGAAAGACACAGGGCCATGCGCAAGATTGAGGCCCCCAAACCAACACCGCGATTGAGAAACATCCATTTGGCATGTGACATGTGGTATGAAGCCGCACTCGCAAGTTCAGCTTGGAAGACCCTTTCAAATCTAGGCTTGGGGCTTGCTCTGCGTCAAAGTCACGCTGTGGGCCTGCGCTCTCGAGTCCAGCGAAGCACAGACTCCTTCTCATTAAAAGTAACCCGATGTTTACAAAGCGTCCACACATACTAATTACATCATATTACATCTAATTACCAATTTGCATGCATCATATTACATACATATTGTTCAAGCCTTGTTGCGTCCCTTTGAGGGTTAATGTAGGCCAACACTCGAGTTGTGTAAGGTCACGTAAGCAAGTGCGTGTAAACGATGAGCATATCGTCGCAATGTACTAGGTTGGCGCTACGCTGGATGGCTGCATGTCGCTTTGAGCAAAACGCCTTCCAGCTAAGGATAGCGCACACTGTCCTTGGAAACGCAACCCGCCCAGGCTCCCGCTTCGGGCTTGAGAGTTGCGCAGGCATGGCGTGAGTAGAGTTGCTCTTCGTGACAAAGTGAATGTTCTTGCGGGTCACCCAAAACAAATGAGGCTGCCGAAGGGGTTCTCCGAGCAAAACGAGATGAGTAAGCACGAGATCGGTCGTAAACGCAGAGTCTGTCTGTGTTTCTGATGAAATGTGAATGTTTTAACGCAATGAAAGAAATGTTTGGAAAACGTGCGTTTTTGAAGAATAATGCGTCAAAATGCGTAGACACACTGAACTGGAGTTTTAGAATGTTTTAGTAAAGGCCAGCTTCATCTTTTTGCAAATGTCCTTTCATGTTGAGGAACGCAGAAGTATCCCGTTGCGTACAGTGAACATTTGCACTACACTTGCATGACTGTAAGCAGCCGCATGTCTGATAGTCAGGTATTCTTTGTCCGAACGCGGCTTTGAAAACCTGGACCCTTGTTTAGGTAGTGAGTGAGCTGCAAGCAGGTGCTGGGTCGGGCGCTCACATGTTGAGCCGACTGTGACAAACAAAAAACGTACACGTCTTCATGCGCAGCCAAGACCATCCACTGAACATGCCCTCGACCAGTGCACTCAACGCTTTCACCAGGTAAATCTAGTTTGCAACCACTGTAGCAAGGCTTCATCCGATTGTGTTCTGGCAGATGCCCTCCAAATGAAACCTCATCTTATCTACACGTAGACATGGCACGCCTACATCACAGAGCAAGGTCATCTGCATAGTCATTCTACATCACCTAGCAACATCATCTGCGTAATTATCTTACGCTACACTCGCAACGAAGGTCACCACTTCGGCCCCACCCCACCCCACCCCCATCCCCTTCGTAAACGCAACAGGAATCTTACACCATCACATCGCAACATCATGTTCATAGACATGAATCGAATCTACCTGATCAAAATGTTACTTGAGTCGACATCACAGCTCCTACGAAAGCTAGTCCTCGCAGAAAACCGTGTACGCACCCACAAACGAGCTTTGAAGAGTCTGGCGCTTGTAGAGTGGTCAAACAGGTACTGTAGAGGCCCACATGCTGTGCTGCTGTGCTACATGTTTGCTGTCAGGATTTGAAGATGTCCAGCTTCGGTTCCTGAAGGTTTTCCAAAAATATTTGCGTCGTCAATTTGTCATATACGTATAGTCTAGTATAGATCCTTGCAAACATGTTCTCTGTGGAACTCATCTGCCGTCTGCCTTCTACCTTGGCCAAGGTTGCTTTCCAAACTTTAAGCTCTTCTTCTTGCGCCTGGCAGCGAAGCCCAGCGCTCGCCAATTGACATATAAATTTGAAAATTTATGAACGTTTGAACTCCCCCAGGCCTTCAAGAGCGGGGCGCACTTCTCAATAGCTTTTGTTATCTTGCTGGCCTGTACATTCACAAAGGTCTTAGAACATCTTGTATATGTGTATATATATATAACCTACTATTTCATTCCACCACCACCCAAGACTCTGTTTTGAAGGGCTGGACGGTGCGCAATTTGAAATTGGTATGTATAGTATATATCTCGTTGCGCAGGTAGATGGCAAACGAAGTCCACTCCTGTTTCTACCTCTCGCGGGTTCAAGTTTCGGGTCGTATCCGATAATGCTCAAGGGCCCTAACAGCCACAGAAAGTGAAAATTGACTCTCATGTATGTGAAATGCGATGTTGCATCAGCAAACAATCAGACAGGCCAAAGCTTTCTAAATTCGAAAGCAACCTGTCCAGAAAAGTTTTCTCGGCCCTTTCAGGCGTTCTTGTCCTTCACGTTTGATCTTCGTAGCAGCTGACATGCAACCAAGCTCCATGTTGTTGGCTTGGCAAGTCTTTTCATGGTGTCATCGTGATGATCGTACGTCAGCCCGGTCTGTTGACTTTTGTCAGCCAACTCACCCATCTCGAACCTTTTCGCGACCCATTCTTTCACATCCATAGCAGTTGCATTGGGCGCTTGATCCTGTTGTACCACCAAAGGGCGCTGAAGCATCTTGATCTGCCGCTCCTTTTCACGCATGCTCATGTGGATCTCCAACACTTGCACCAGGCTCGAGTTCATGAACCTGTGCCATTGTTCAAGCTCTCGAATGCTCGCGCTATCACTTTCACGTCTCACGATTTCCCGTCGACGAACTCGGGGGATCACGCGCTGCACCACGTAGCCCCTCACGTCGGCGGTCACTTGCGATGACCACATCATCTTAAGCTCCATCCATCGGCGCTGACTGCGCTCTTCACAGACCTTTTCATAGGCCTTCTTCCATCTGCTCAACTCCTCCTCAGCGCATTCCTCCATGTAGCCGTCTGACTCGGAGGCCTCATTTTCTTTAATCACCGGGTCATTCGCCGTATCGCCATGGCGCGGTTGGTCGTCATTAATTATCTCGCCATGGCACGTTTGGGGTGTCATTCTCAACCATTTGGACATTCGGCGCAATGTCATCATTCTGTGGGCGCATGGTGTACTGAATCATGACACTCTCCATGAGGGTCGTGTCCAACATCTTGCAACGACGCAACACCTTCCCCTGCACCTAGGAAGTCATCAACGCGCAAACCCAGGACGCCATCAACAATCCACCTGTCTTGATCCTTTTCGAAAGTCAGGAATTCGTCATCCTCTGCTGTCGGAGTGACCTTGGGTCAAGTACGTGTCAAACCACTGCCTTGGGGCTCTGACGTCTCCAAAGGCAGGCTTGGTGGCTTTGAGGGTCTCATCTTGTCGCAAGCCCCTCAGCCTCTCCAGTCACCGACGCATGTCAGCAGGAGGTCGCACATAGATCCTCGCGCTGTCGTCAATGGAGTACTTTGGACTGCATGAACGCCGACTTGATGTCTGCACACCACAACCGCCAACGTCGATGAACGGCCCACGCAAAGCATGACAACCATTCTTCCAAGGCGGCTGAATTCTCATTGAGGACATCACGATGTTTGAACCCTTGCAGAATGGCTCGGGCGTTTGCTTTATAGCCCGTCAGCAGTTGGCTTCCATCGCTGGAGAAAGCGCGCCGGCGCGATCTCATCTGGTTGCGCTTCACCTTCCGGCACTGCGCGCCAAGCTGCATTCTCAATCCACACCGTCGAAGCTGCGCCCTTGGCCTCTTCGAAGGCTTTGCGATCTGCAGGCCTCAAATGCTTCTCTTTGAACGATTCGGCCATCAACTCTTCATCAGGGCTCATCTCCTCAGTCACGTCCAGAAATCTTTGGGAGGCCGGATCATCATCTTTCACAGGAGGACATGTTGTAGGACTGAAAGGCGATGGCTCCTGCTGGATCGGCCTTGTGATGGCTCTGGATGTGAGGAGCTTGAAGGTTCATCCATTGGTTTCTCAAACTTGTTTGGCCTTTCATCATCTTCAGCATTTGAATGTCCTCTCTCCTTCACTTCTTTCATTTCTTCATCTTCATCAGGGGAGGTTTGCGCTGGCGCTTCTGCAGCTGCCGACTGTGGTTCAACCGCGCTGTTGCTGTCATTCATGTTGCTGCTGCTGTTGTGTTTCTGCTTCCGCTGTATCCCCTGTCTCATTGGCCCCTTGGGCTAAAGCATCTGTAGCGTCTTCATCCCTGTTGGGTTCTTCACCATCTTCTTTTGCAGTGTCATCTGCCTCCATTGCATTCGCGATTGGGGGGTCCCTTGACAAGTCAAGAAACGATTAGGACCACGGACGGGCTGAAGAACTTGTCGAACAGTAGTTTCAAGGTCAGCGGTCTGAGCAGTATGAGGCAAACGCTGGAGACGAGCGCAATGTTCTCGAGGTGTCTCGCGGCGCAAGTGCTCGGGCGCGACGCAAAGCAATGCAGCACTGTGGGCCACCCAGTAGACTGAAGGTCGGGGGCCATTGATGGTGTCGTCACGAGGCTGCGTGGAACAAATGATGCCAGGCCCACGCCACCTGCTAAGTTCCAGTAGTAAACCCAATCACCAGGATGAAATTGTGGGTTTTCGGAACGGCTCTTGCTCATCAATGCTTTCGCAAGGTTTGACTTGAATTAGCCTCACGGAAGGCTTTGGCAGCTATCAAGCGCATCTGTTGTAGTTCTTGATGCTGTTTGGATGGATCGGCAGCATTGGTCATGGCCGGTTCATCCATGAGACCACCTTCATGGTGATTGACTCCAAAAACCATCTGCGATGGAGAGGAGCCATGAATAGTTCGCAACTTGTTTCGCAACGAGCAAGCAATGGGAACTATGTCTTCCAACCGAGCATGTGGCAGTTCCTGCTTCATCTTCAGAATCTGTAATCTACGAACTGCATGCAATCGTTCCACGGTTCACATCCTGTTGCGCGCCTCCTTGGGGACGAGCTCTAGCTTGATGTCGCGATCGTCCATGAAGGTCACGTAGGCCTCACTCATGTGTGAACCTGCTGCGTCGGTCCTCAAACGCTTGGGTGCGCCAAAAACAGAAATCCATGTTTCCAGCACTTGCAGCTCTGCTTTGCTCCGTCTCAGCTACTACGACTGCGTTCATCTCATATTTGGAAAAGATGTCGATGATTGCCAAAACTCTCTTCTCTTCATCATTCCATCAAATGTGGAAGACATCTTTCTCCAGAGCGTCGTTGAAGTGCTTTGTCAATGGTAGAGCTGCTGGTTTTGAAGGATTCTTGGAACGATAGTGTTGGCAGACGTCACACTTGAAATCCTTTGCTGCTTTCTCCACACTTTCATCAAATCCTCCTTCTCGCTCGGCCACTACCAGCCGATCACGGCCAGGGTGTCCAAGTTGGCGATGTAGTTTCTCTACAATGCTCTTTGCTGCTTGCGGGTGTGTTTTAGCCATTTGCTTCTCCTCTTCATTGATTTCTTTGTCTTTGCTCTTTTGCTCTTCAACTTCTTCCGTCACCACAATCGTCATCATTTGCTTTCTCATCCATGCCTTATCCATCGCATTGTAGATGGCTTTTGCGGCTTTCTTGACAAACCCAGGCTCATAGTTCTGCGTCTGTTGAAGAGCATGGGTTTTCCCATCCATCTGGACGCGAGGGACCTCATCATCGTCGTCCTCGAAGTACGCCTCATCATCGTACCATTCAGGCTCATAGCTTTCCTCTGCCATGAACTCTTCATACCACTCTTCATCATCTTCTTTGTAGTAGGCTTCGTCCTTGTTGGATCCACCTGCACGGGCAAGATCTCTGGCATTTGGTCGATGATCTCCACCGAACACGCAGATCAAAGCTTTTCCAACCTTCTCGTACTCCAAGTCACCTGAGCACATTGCTTTGGTCTGAACGCGCGTCCAACGAGGAACTCCTGCTCTTGTCAACAAATGCCAGCCAGACAAAAGGGGGAGGAACATCGACATTGACCTCCTTCATCCGCTTCAGGAGAGTCCGATGCCTAATGAGGTAGGCTTGCATCTCGTCACCTTTGGTGCGACTGAACTCACTGAAGAACTCATCACATCTGGAGGGAGCCTCAATCAGATCTTCGTACTGGTATAGTTTATCAAGCAAACAAAAAACAGTCTTGAATGGCTTGGGTGCTCCCTCAACATCGTCAAAGTTGAGTTGCTCTGTAGCATCCCATGCAACATCACGCAGTCGACTGATCACCAAATAGGCGCCCTCCACCATAGTGTCACGTCCTCTTCGTTCACATTGCTTCTCAAAAAGCTCCAATCTTCTTCGATAACTCCTGCAAGTCTTCTGTGTGAGTCCGTCAGCATCTGGACAGGCTGTTGCAAGGCCTGAGTCTAGTCCACCTCGTCCGTGTTGTGGCGTGTAGGGCAACTGTAAGGAAGCGTCTTCAGCCTGTGCAACTGGGGCAAAAGGACCACCACGACCGGTTTGAGGTGCAAAACCCGCACTGGTGTTCTTCTAGGGCTCCCACGTTCTGCCCCTGACATAGGTGATGAACTTACCCTCGTATTTCACCAGGAAAGCGAAGCGCACCACAAACAAGTAGGGCACCGTAGAGACCGGCAAGCTGGATCACCACCCGCTCCGCTACCAATCTCGTTGTGCGGGTAGATGGCAAACGAAGTCCACTCCTGTTTCTACCTCTCGCGGGTTCAAGTTTCGGGTCGTATCCGATAATGTTCAAGGGCCCTAACAGCCATAGAAAGTGAAAAGTGACTCTCATGTATGTGAAATGCGATGTTGTATCAGCGAACAATCAGAATATATATATATATATATTTATTTATGTAGATCACACATCGAAAAGGTTGTGCCTCTTTCAAGTCCGACATGGATTCAATTGGAACTGGGACAGTGTAGGGACCCAAAAGGAGCCTGCTTGAAGCACAATTTCGCATTTTGTTTGAAGTCCTTCTTCGGGTCCAGCTCCACTTCTACACACAATGGCAGGCCATCATCGCCAAGGTTGGAGTAGTCAGGGACTTTCACTTCTGTCCTGGGTGTCTCTTGATAGGAAAAGAAGTACAGTAACACGGAATGAACCGCGTAGTGGCGTAGTGTTCCTCAACTTTGTTTCGTTAATGTTTCTTTCATTCTAAGGCCCAAAAGCTCAAATCCTAGCTAGGCACATCTGAGCACCATGCACAGCTGGAAATAGGATTGGTTCCGGCATTGCTCAAAAAAGAAACAGTAAAACCCACATGGCAGGTCTCTCATTCTGAGGGTATTCTGCGAGGTGGGTATATAATGCGGCATGCGGGCTCTGCACTCTTGCTTGGCTCCTTTGGAACCTTCAAGGCCGGAGGCATCACTCGATGCTTTCATAGATTAGCGTAGCTTGGTATCCTGGAATATCGTTTGAATGTCATTGGGTCGTCCCTTTTGTCCCTTCGCCTCCTCTTCGGCCTTCAGCCAGGTCTCATGCCGGGGTACCAGGCTTCTGTCACCTGCAAGAGACCATTGCCCCGATTTCTCCAGAGCTCTGCCTCCGAGGGATCCCGGATTTGCCGCCGAATCCCAGAAATCCTCGGTTCCCGCATTGAGTGCTCAAAAGTCATCTTCTGCTGGCGACGCTTCTCAAATTGGGTTGGGAGAATGCCGAGAACACATTAGCTTGTTCTGAGGGAGAGCTTCAAGGGGCAGCATTACTGTAATAGTAATATACAGTAAGTATCCAAGGAACTTGCCCTCAACAGACTTGCAGGCTTTGCTCAAACCAGTGACAACTTGCCTTGGCTTCAATCATTATTCTTGCAATTAGTGCAAATCAAGAGCACAAATAAGCATTCTTAGAACAGTTGCCAGGCATCTGACACTATCGTTTAGCGATCTGTAAAACATTGTAAAAGTAGTGGATTTCACTCCCCACACCCAACTTTACCCTGGGAAACTGGCAGTCAAAGTCTGCCAGGCAAGAAGCATCATCCTCAAAGCCGTTCTCACTGTATTCTATTCGCCGTTCAGAGTATGCGAGCACAGCTTCTCCACTTGCAGCGCCTGTGACCAGCGAGACACCGCACAAGCTCTTCTGGCTCCAGCTCCTTTACTTCTGCTTCAGCTGAGACACAGCAAAGACCCACCTTGGCCGACCGCACAAGTCAGTTTTCTCGCAGCAACAATGAATCAAAAGAATGGAATGATATGATACGAGCTGGCGTCATTGCAACTAATCCGTTCCAAGCGATAGGAGATTTGCCCAAAGACAGGAACAAGCCACAGCAAATGTAGCAAGCCATGTCTAAAAAAAAGTAACTTGCGAAAGCCTGGCGAAAGTTGCCAAAACTCTTGGGCTTCAGTGGAATCACCTCACTGTTCAGACTTGACACGTGGAAGACCCGAGACTGGAATTGGAGGATGGCACAGAGAACGAATGTGCAAACGAAGAGAACATGCAAAAACATATATTTTATAAAGTATTGTATCATATGAAACGATACTTACAGTAATGTATTTTATCATATTAGATAATCTCAGGAACTTCTTGTAGTGATAGCTCCCACTGTCTGGCGCAGAATGCAAATATCCATCCAAGTGACAATGGCCAAAGCAACCATAGGAACTGCTCTTTGATTCCAGTTCATCGCAATTTGTGTGCTCCGACAACAGGGTTGCATCCTCCTTTAGAACATGTTAGAACCCTGCAAAGGATGTCTACATGCTGCCTACTCATCTCTAAAAACTGCATCACAAGAGCAGAAGTGCATCGAAACATTCAGCAGCTTGAATGCTAGCTCCTTTGAACACCAACCATTGGAGACGATATTGGAGTCCATTGCCCAAAGCGTGCAGATGCCAGCATCTCTGCACATGAAGACTGGTCGGATCCCCCAACCAAAGCGTCATTGGAACAAGAGCCAATGCAAAATTAAATCATACTTTTGTACCCGAATAGTGCACTGTCAGATTCCAGCAAAGCCCACTCTCACCTGAAGCCCAACTGTACAAGGCAACTTTGAGGAGGGCCTGCATCAAGTCAACCTGTGAACATGATTATGAGGAACAGGTGCATCGCTATTAGGAACAGGTGCATCGCTGTTAGTAGCTACTGGCAGCTAGAAGCTACTAGAAGGTGCATCGCTACTAGTAGCATGACTATCACCCACATCCAGCAGCTCCAAACTTGACGACTGATCCGCCACTCGTTAGCAGCCTCCTGTAGGAGGCGAGTCAGAGATGCTGAGCATTCAACTCCAGGACTCCAGGATTAAAAAGACTGTTTGTTTGTCGAATGCAATGAGCGCTCTTTACCATCTTCCACTATCTCGGTCACTTGTCCGTTGCGAGTCATGCTCAGCACATCTCTGGTCTATATATCTACAATCAAAACGCTTGTGTTTGCTCATTGCTTTTCCAAAAAGTTTCTGCAAAGGCTGTGGTGGGATGCAGTTGGCGCTTTCGTTTATATAAACGAACAAAGGACATGCAAGGCCAGATTGTGCTGGATTGAAACGATGCAACGACAAATGGTGGGTTGGACGCTGCGGCTTCACTAGCCTCTGGCTTCACTAGCCTCTGGCTCAGTCCACCCAGGTCGTTTACTTTACTCTGCTACTGAGCCCCATCCAATCAATTCCTGCCCAGTGAAACGCATCGCGGCTCCTGGAGCAACACTGAAAGGAGGCGGAAACGACAAAACCCAAATTGTGTAGAGTCTGCTGGAATCTACGGATACTGTAAAAAAAAAAAAGCTAGTAGTAACAGGTGCATCGCTACTAGTAACAGGTGCCTTACTAGTAGTAACAAGAAGCTAGTAGTAACAGCGAGTGTTCTTTCCGAGCATCCATTCATGATCCCAAAGCCTTCTGCTCACAGAGGCGAGAGGAGGGAGGAAGAGGGAGGAAGAGGGAGGAAGATTGCCAGGGAGGTGACAAAAACACGGCCCTGCTCTTGAGCGGGCCGGTTGGTACACCTCCTTTCGTGAGTGCTCACAGGAGCCTACAATGCGTCTGCGGGGAGAAATCAGACTGCTGCCGGCCAACCTTTGCTCAGTGAAAGACATGTGATTCCAACCCGCAGCTCAGTGGAAAATAAATTCTCTCCATCACCTAAGTGCATCAAGGGAACAGAAATGTAGGCAAGCAATGGCAAGTATCGGTTTCACAGTGTTTCAAATTTAAAGCTCCGCTGCCCACTTTTCAGGCGAAAGAATCACACTGCAGCAAGCCAGCACACGCCAAAAATCTTGGCAAATTTAACAGCGAGTTGGTTTAGCCGCTATAGCCCTACCTTTGCCTGAGAAAAAGGCCAGTCAGTAAGCCTTTTTGCCTCAGCAAATCACTGACACTTGATTGTGAGTGCATGGGCAAAGTGTGAACGAAGCACCTCTGCATCATGGATCTGGAGATTGTGACTCCTGGAAAGGTCGAGAACAATGCCGGCAAAACTGGCAAACTGCAAGTTTCAAATTTGGACTCTCCACATATCAGAGCAAAAGGAAGTGAATGGAAGTGAACATGTGAAATGGAGACAGCCAACATGCCATTTGGCAAAGCTGGCCTCTAAGGTGCGCCCTTAGACAAAACGGTGCCGTTCATCTGAACCTGAAATGTGAGAGTCGATAGCGCCGAAACCTTACATTATATATATATATGTATGAAAGCAAACACAATTTATATGATAGGTTGGAGGCCATCGCTTTTAGGTTGGAGGCCATCGCTTTTAGGTTGGAGGCAATCGCTATTAGTAGCTTTCTTGTAGGTCATTCCATGTATATGATGGTGAGGAAATTGCGAGTGCTTCGGTTGCCTCGTGAGCGACACGCTCAACACCTCCCCGACCATGTGCACCATGGTTATGGGCTTCTGCGTGGCGGTACTCGTACCCGGTGGTCTGCAAGCACCCCAAAGCTAGGCAAAAGGCAAGACACTCAAACGTCTCCATGTTTTTGTCCAGTTTGAGTCTAAACCATATTCAGTCAATGACATTGAGGATCAATTGGGATTACAGTAACATGGATTAACAAGGTCAGCATGCAAGCCTGGAATTCATGGCTCCGGCCGTGTTCCGCCACCTTTTGGTCAACCACCTGCAGTGCGCGGCATTCCAGTGATGACTGAAATGCGGCCTTCAAAGTCATTCCAACGCATAGCAAGTTTACAGTTATGTAAAGTTTAAGCTAGATTCCCAAGCTGGCCTCCAGCAACATGGACTTCGTGCAAATGGGTCTTCCATGGGCCCGGTCGCTATAGAGAACATGCCTCATGGCCAGTTGGAGAAAGGACAAAGCTCACGAAACTGCGCTGACTATGTCTATTCCGTCTGATTTAGGTGGGTCCAAATCCAACAAGAATGCCGTGGTGTTTGATACACCGCACCACTAACAGTGTCAGAGGACGAAACCGCTGCTCATCCCGCCCACTCTGGAGCAAGGATGCATCCAGGGGTGTTTGGGTGGGTCTCACTCTAGAGCGAAGATTCTCGAACCCTGCAAAAGGAAAGTGAAGGGACACATGCAAAGATCAACCTTCAAAATAAGGCAAAGCAAAATGCCACGCTGCAAGGCGATGAGCAGCCCCGTGATGAAAGCTAGAGACGATGTGCAACAAGCTTTGGGAGCAAGAGAAAGTTCATAGTGCGAAATGACTCTCTCCGGAAAAGTCGGGTCAGTTGACTTGTGATGTTTCTCGCAAGGAAATCTTTAATGTCTGATCGCCTGCGAAGCATCAGGGGTGTTTGGGTTGATCCACAACCAAGTGAACGGTCAGGGAGTCTGTCTCATCTTGAGCATAGGTATAGTTTGACAAGCATGGGACGTCTGGAGAGATGTGAAGAGCTTCGAGATCTCTCGGCCGCCTGCCAAAACTTTGCTGAAATGCAGCACGTCTCAAGTCAATGCCACAAAGCAAAACTTGCCAACAGTTTGACAAGGCTGCCAGAACTGCTTCGCCAAGCCACTAAAGCCATGAATGCGATTTGCAACAATGGCCATGGCGTCTTCGTCCACCTCTTCTTCCCTGACGCAGTCTGCAAAGACTTCTGCACAACTCCCGAATGTGCAAAGAAGTTTCACATTTCAGGAATCACTTGTGTCATCAATATCATCAAACCCTTGCCTTGGTATCTGCGGTTTTGGACTGCCAGGTAGCCTGGCCACCAGTCGCAGCAGTGTGTTTACTCCAGCAAATCACATTACAATTGGAGACTCGCGGCTGAGGGCTCGACCGCCTTCTGAACCCACTAGTTTGCTCCCTTGGCACGTCGTTTGATATTTCCGATCTCTCTCCCACATGAAGCGTTGGACAAGACTTTCTTAGGCCTCCCGCGGAGGCTTCCGTAGCATAGTGGTTGCTGCGCTGGCACCAACACGAGCAGGGCGCGGAAGATTCCGAAAGTATCCAAATAGCGATCATATTTGGAGAAAAATTGATGATGGCTCGAACCAATTTTGGAGCTTTGACCAAGCTGACGCACCAATTTTCCTGATGTTTAAACGATCGTCTAGAATTGTTCCTGCGAGGAGTTGCAGTGTTGCTTTGTTGTATTCCATCTGCGCACAAATTTTGGTTGACAACAATCATGCGATGATGGCCAACAGCATGCTATCTTGTTTGGTCAAAAAGAAAACCATGCCTAACTGTCGGAAGTCTCAGCGGCTTTGCTATGTACTTGTCATAGTACAGCTGAACCATTCCCTGACAGGAGCAAATCATTATTTTGAAGGCAAAATCTCACAAGCGTTGCAACTGTGATGATGCCCTACGTTAAAGAAATAAACTCGGAAATACTTCGCTGCCAAGGCCTGCCTTCCGGGCATCGATGTCAGGCAAGCCAAACTCCACACTCTCATCCAACCGGTCCAGAATGGCCTGGGGGGATCCAAACAAAACCTCAATAGGTCACTTGCAGTGTTCGTGGAAGATTGAAAAATATGAAGTTTAAAAGAGGATTCATTCATTCGCTGAAATATGCTGAAATTCCTGGCAGCATAAACAGACCTCAGCTGCCCGCGCTATCTAAGTCATGCGGCCTATTGGTTGCAATGACCTGGGACAACAAGTCGCGCACGTAGGAAAAAATCCAGATCATACTGGCACTTAAACTCAGCAGCTGCTGGCCCCAGTGTGTAGAACTCTCATTTTCTGGTTCCTGTACAGTGGCTGGTTACCTTGATTTGCTGCAGTGGACACAAACGGTTTCTGCGCAGCTTCATCCATAGCCATTTGCTTCAATCAATCCCGGGCGGTCTAAACCCTATGCCCAAGTTGCCCAAACAACTTTCAATGGGTAGCCTTCTTCTGCTCAGAAACCAGATATATCTGATATATTTGTTGTTCAAAAACTGTGGTGTTGATAATGCGTCCCTACCAAAAGTCAAAAGTCCTGACCTAGGACCTAGTTTTCCACATTTCACATTTACATCCCAGACGTGCTGCTGTTGCAATGGTTCACTAATTTTGTGGAGCAGAGTGGTTTTCGAGACACCATCTGGCAAGGGAGTACCTGTCCTTCGTACCGGTTACTTCACATTGGTTCAAGTCTGATGAAAATCGGGAGGTCGTAGAGCTGAAGTTTAGCCACCATGGAACTGTTCCATCGGGAGTGCGCACTTCGTGTTTCCGTATCTCAAGTCAACCTCTGTTGTGGCTGCTTGATGCGTATTTGCCATGGCCTCTGCAAACAAGTCAAACATGGAAACGTAGCACTTGAGCAATGCTTTGGATGCATTGAAGGTAGAGCATATGCATGCGAGCGTCTGAGTCTATGCAATAGGTAAAATGTGTACGTGCGTGTGCCTTTGCGTGTGTGTGTGTGTCACCCACTGTTCCAAAGGGTTCCGCGTTTCCTGATGTCTCCATCACGCAAGCAGGGGGACCAGGCATCTCGCTGCTGACCTGGTCTAACAAAGCTAGGCAGCGAGATGGGAAGCACTGAGAGACGTCTCGGTGTGTACCTGCTGAGTTCTTCACAAGCTGTGACCCTCCTTCTCCACGGTTTGTTTCATGGTGGTTCGCATGATACTTCCCGCAAACCTTTTCTTCCGCCGCTTTTCCTGCAGCTGAGCCGCGTTGATGTTCGCCACCGCAGACATGTCAACAGATTGTTAAAACCATACAAGTGCGCTGACCCTCTCACCTTTCCGTTCCATCGCCATTTTCCTGGGAATTGAGCTAGCAGCTAACTGAAAACCAATGTCAGAGTGTGAACCGCTCAGCCGTCCCACTTGGGCGCTGGGTGTGATCCTCCGTAAGGAGGCGCCGATGCCATACCGGAAATCGTTTTCCTGATTGATCGTCGTTTCATCGTGAACCACTGTCATTACTTCCATGCCAATACTGAATTAACAGGATTGAAAGCCGGGCTTTTCTACGGAGTTATGGACTTTGCACTTTCAGATTGTTGCATTTTCGGACTTCATGACGACATGCATGCAAGAGTTATTTCTTCGAATTCATTGCAGCTGCACTTTCAATTTCAAGGATGTACCAGACCATTTCACCTCCACCATGTACAGGGCATGACATTTCACATTTCCACCTTGTATCACCTTTTCACGCTTTTCATCCTCCATTTCATTTTCATATTTGACATTCCACTCCTTCATCATCCCGCGATTTCACTCCACGGGTACAAGTAGCAGAGACTCTCAGCAGCTGCCGCGCCGCGCTGGTGCCATTGAGCAGCCGTCACCTTTGAAGCTATAGCATTTTGAGTGGAACCTCGACTATCACCAACATCAAGCCAATGCAGTATCCATGGCCATACCCATACTGGACTCATCAACCACCACCTACCACAGCCCATACATTTCCCATCCACCAGACGCAACCTCACATGCCTCCCATGATTCCACACACACCACCGACATTGCCCCATTTGCCACAGCCAACATGGCAACCCTCACCACCACCGCACTTCCAACCACCACCACAGCTCGTACCTCAGATACCGCACCACCATACGATTCCATTTTCCTACTCGCTGCCTCCGCTGGAACCACCACCAGTGCCTCATACACACCCAGCTCCACCGCAAGCCTGCCAGCCGGCACCAATGCAATGGGACTACAGCCAGGGAGTCTGGCAACCCTTTTCAGTGTTTCCGCCAGTCGCTCAACCGGGACATGTTCCACCAGGCTCCATCCAGCCAGGCCAGACTCCCGCAGTCGCCACTCCAAGTCCTCCTGACCCTCTGCCTGCTGCAGCACCAGCACCACTTCCCGCCACAGCCACTCCTGGCGTCCAAGCCAACCTCTACAGCACCCCCAACATAAGCAGACCGCCCTGCCCCTACCACTGAGCAAACCTCTTCACATCCTCTTTCACACCCACCGCCACCTTCTCCCGCAGCAGCCTCCAATCCATCCGACAATCTTATGGGCAAACACATCTCCGAACCACCACCAGCTCATCCACAGTCCACCGCAACACACCCACTTCCAGCATCCAACGCTCCCAGTCACCAAAGCAGCAGCCATCGCCGCCATCGCCATCACACTCGCGGCAGGCGCACTCATCGCCACCGCACCACACGCTCAACGACCCAACAGGATGCCTCTCACGGACATCAATCAACGCGACACCACCGCCCGCGTTCACCTTCCTCCACCTACTCCACCTACTCCTACAGCCGTTCACGCAGCCCCTCCAGGCCACCCATTTCTCTTCTACCCAACAACGACTCACTACAACAAGATGCTGTCACGAACCAGTCGCACACCAGCTATCCCAACATTCCTGCCATACGCCGACCAACCAAACCATGGCGACCACTTCCACAATTTCAACAACGCACCCCACAAGAACAACTGGAACTTTGGCTTGATTATCACGCCGACCAACTCGACGCACCCAACAAACCACAACACACTTACATTGCCACCCTGCTGCTCGATAGCGGCCTTACTTACAAAGACCTCTCAGATTTCCGCCAATTCACTCACATCAAATGAAACGACACTACCAACACTCACGATATCTACCAATACCACTGCATCACCATTCCCAGCCTTGTGCAGAAAGCCACCCGCAGCTTCCCACCGCCAGCGACACGTGCCACCTCCACCACACCAGAGATGGTACACATCAACGCAGGCCATACCGGCCCTCTCGGCAACATCACCAACATCCTCCAACAGGGCCGCTTCCTGCCCAGCACACTCCACTTCCCCAACAACCCGGGCTTCTTTGCCCAAGCCGTACGCATCACCCAACAACCACAACACGACAACGCAGAACACGCCCGCATTCTCCACAACACTTGGAACCTCGCAAAGAACACACACTCAATCATTATCAACCACTAGCGGCGGAGAGGAGCAAGCGATGAATCTCCTTCTCCAAAACCACGGAGCCGTTAGCCACACCAGAGCCAGATGCTGGGTCATTCACCCTGACAACGCAATCGTCAAAGGCCTGGCGTGGTCGATCAACTCCACTCCACCAGACACCTGATTCCATGCAACAACAACTTCCACCTTGATGGCCACCTTCCAACTGTTTCACCCATCACCACATACCACTCGCCTGGCAAAAAAGAATCCGGGCGCTGTTCGACTTCCATAGGCAGCGATTCTCTCACTTGGACGCTATGTCTGTTTCACTTCATGGTATTTTTTGATTTTGAGTTTTGACATGCGACATGCCACACTACTTGAGTTCCGCTGATTGTTCATGAGTTATCCTTCATGCGATCTCGTTTCCACATAGATACTGTGGCCTCATGACCCCGACGGATTCTGATTCTTGTTACGTTTCAACTTATGGTCCTCAAGGACCCTCTGAGGCCTCCATGAAGGCCCCACGTTTGCTGCGAAGTTCATGCGCGCTGCGAAATTCATGCTCGATAATTCGCATCCGATAATTCACTTGCACGTCTCAGCCGCTCGTTCACGCTGCCTGGGCCGCCGCGCTGAGCTTTCCGCGCTGCCGTGCTGCTGACCACGAACACTCATCACCCAAGCTTTCATACAGGATGAATCCTAGCCCAGATCACACTCAGTTGATTCACCGCACCACCATTAATGCCCTCACACAACTACACCGCCTTCTCCAACAAGCAACTGACATCCTGGCCAATCTACACAGCCTATACCTGCTCCACACAGGACAAGTTGATGCTCATTTCCACCGCTCCTTTCTCCCTCTTCCGCCACCTCCTTCATTCACCATACCAATACCATCACCCACATCCTCTTGTGACTCAGCACCAATCCAGCCACTTCGTACAACACCACGCAAACCATCAGCATCTCTCGACTCCTCTTCCCCCACACCCCCACCACAGCCACCGCAACCCAAGAAGCGACGTGAACCAGCACCACCACTGAACCCCCAAGCTGATTGGGACGCCTGGGACGGCGAAGCAGATGTTGAGCTGAAGTCAGACATCCGCCTCCGCCCCAACTGGAACTACGTTGCCCGACGGGTGTGCTTTTCCATAGAACAGTGTAAAGCCCGCTGGCAGGGACTTCAAGAGTTGCAACGACTCCAAGACGCCTCCACGCGGCCTCTTTCTTCTCATCCACCCTCTCCCATCACATCACCAGTCATTTCCCCCACTCCTACATCACCTGCACGCACACCACCAGCAACTCAGCACGAACACCGCCAACAACACCTCTCCAGCAGTTACACTCTGTCGCAGACTTCTCCGACTCTTCATCTCCACCTCCTCCATTATCATCCGCAGCGGTGGACGACACAGTGGCTGCGCGGCGCACGAAGAGTGAGGACAGTCATCCGGAACCTGTAGAGGACCCATTTCTAGGCAGCTATTTTGTACGATTGCTCAGGTTTCACCCAATCTCCCTCGGCGGGCTGCCGGAAATAATTGCATGCTCAGCCCGTGAATACAGACAGCCAACCATTAACAGTCGTGAGTTTCTTTCTTTTGCAACCCTTTGCAGTTTTGTGAATCGTGCTCCTTTTCCACTTGGAAGTTGGAAGCTTTTCCACTTGGAAGCTTTTCGCTCTGCTCCTGAGTTTTTCAGCCTGTTTCCTACCCACATTGCAGCCATTTACTATTGAACTTGACTCGTGTGCACC